TCCAAAATGGTCAGGGCAATATGTTACTGTTTGAGGCCTGGCTGCAGAGCTCACAGGTGCCCACAGCACAGTACAGGCCAATTCTGCAGTGGTGCTGAGGAGAGTGGAGTATTAGGGATAAAGTAGGAGTTAGAGCAGAAGCAACAGGAAAGATGCACCAGCAAAAGGAAGATGCACCAGTGGAAGAGGACCTTCCCCACAAGCGCCTCCGCTTGGCTCCCTGCAGATCCAAAGCCTTGGCAGCAGACTTGTCCAGAGCTGATGGAAGTAATGCTTTTCAACAGCAGTAGTGGAAAAGGTCAGACTAAGTGGTGTATGTCCAACTTTCATCACCTTCAACTTCCATAACTCCAGTGTTAACGTCAAACCTTCATATTCAGCTTGAATATCTCTTTGCTTGTTGGTACAGATCCGTACTCAAAAAACACTGCACTGAAATGGAACGCAATATCTAAAACTGGACATCATTTCCAGTTATTCTTTTGACCCATTAGTTTCCTTCTGAGTCCCAGTACAGTTGACATTGTTGGGCAGTTTATAAATTGAACTGTTGAATTGCACTGAATGGTCCAAATACAGGTCAGAAGAGCCCTTCAAGCTAGAATACCTACTTTTCAAGCTTGCAATTGCTGTTCTTGTTAGCAAAGCCTGTTACATCCAAAGGTCATGAGGAAAGCTGACTGCTATCACCCAAAGTCTCTATGCTTGATTCCTTTTCCCTCCTCTTTTTTCCAACTTTCCTCTCCCAGACTAAGCAAACCATTTTTTTCTGTCTTTCTTCAATAGACATTTTTTACGGCCTTAGTTTTTCTCCTCCACATTTGTACCCATTTTCTTTGGCTAGAACTGATACATTAGCCACTTATAACATTTATGATTCTAACACAGTAGAACAAAATATTTACCTGAAAAAAACACTTGTACAACAGCATTATTACTGCAATAACTCAAGTTACTTTTTTGTTCGTTTGTTTTTACAGCACTTCAGTATGTATTTGACTATTTTTGTTCCCTGAATAGAGTTCAGCTGCACTCTAGTGGCTGCATTCTAGGATTTCAGGCATTTCTGAATTGCCTGAACTCTGTATTTCCACCTCCTCAAAGTAACACAGCTCATTAGTAACACTTCTTTTAGCACATCACTGCTGAAGGTTGAGTTCAGAAAAAGTATGCATATAATCCTTGTGAAATTGGATTTGAAAGCAGTACCTCAAACCATACAACCGAGATGCAAGCAGATGGATTAACTCTCACCTTAAGGCTGTCTCCATTGAAGCGTCACATAAATAACCCATGTATCAGATCTGTACAGTGTCAGCCATTCACTGTGCCGCCTCCGTGCTGCAGAATCCGTGGCTATTCTCGCATTTTGTGTCGATCTCTGATTTCGCCACTAGGTGGGGAGGAAGGCTCGTAGTTCCATCTCTACAAAAGAACTTGTTCAAGTTGGAAAGACTCGGGGTGGATCTCATTAATGCACAAACACAGCAAGTTCCAGGTTAACGCTTGACTCTAAGATTTAAGGAAATTATATATGAAGAGGTTTGAGGAGAAGCTGTGGCTCAGTGGTTGTTATAGGAAGCAAGCAGTATATAACATTACACTGGTGATTTTTGAGGGGTATAAAAATGAAAGTATTGTGCCATGTGTTGATAGACAAGTATACAGCTTATGAATAGTGTTATGCAATATAAAAAGAGCAAATTTAGGCTTTAGAGGAAGAAAGTACCCATGTCTTTTAAAAATTGGGGAGGACAAAAGATAAATGCCAAAAAAGTCCACTTTGTTCTGCAGTGAACATGAAGACTAAACTCATCAGAAATTGGAACTTTTTTTTTTGCTTGGCACTAGAAAATTTGACAAGTGAGCTGTTCTAGAAAAGGAAACCATTCTGAAAGCTGCTCAAAATAAGTCCCTGATTCCACTTAAAGGCTTTTGAGGGACAGTACACCGCCAGAAAGAGGTGAGAGAAAATGGAAAACACTGAGACTCTTTGAAGGAAGCAGATTGTGGGCAGTGTGAATTTCCCCCCTGTACTTTCTGCAATGATCCGACTCACACATTTTCAGATACAAATTACCAGACTCTTGGTACATCTGAAACAATGTTCCGTTGGCAGCTCTTATGTGGAGACATTTTTCAGTGAAGGTTGTGACACTGCAGGCATCAAGTATTAAAATAATAATTCTTTAAAAAGAAGGGACAGAGGTCAAAATTGAATGTTAGCAGTTATAACATCCAATACACTTAGCATTTGAAAGTCTAAGAGCTTAAAATCCATTTCATGTAAGATTGACATCTGAAGCATATCACAAATTACATTATGGAACAGACGTGTATTGTGCTGCCCACTTACTGTGTCTTCATTTCTGTCCTCTCTTGCAATAACAGGCTGAACAACTGCCAGCAGGCAGAGAGGACTGCCACCTCTGAAATGTAGCTGTCGACCAAATTTCAATGCATACCCTGTAATACATGATATATTTCCCTGGGACCTCTTTTGCTGCTTTAGCTGTTGGCTGTAATCATTCAACCGCCCTTATGCTATCTCTGCAGTCATCCCGTCTTCCTCTGTAAAAATGAGATGTAGTTGCTTTCCTGACACCCTTGCTTACACTCCCACCCAAATGTGACTTGAGATTCTGGCATGTATGCTTTTACAAGTGTGAACATTCAGGTTTTTCTCTCTATTTCCTTGGTGGCACCAGAGTTGCAACTGCCTCTCTCTGTGCAGAGAACAATGGAAGCAGTAGGGGCACTGGAAGAAGGTCCCAATTCTGGAGGTAACAAGAGTGATTGAAGAAAAAAAGAACAATAACAAACAAATGAATAAATACTAAAAGAGCAAATACAGAAAGAAATGAGAAAATAAAGGGGTTTTTTTTGCATAATCAGGACTTCACTTTGCAAAAGATGAGATTTGCCACATTGCATTTTTGGGCCACAGAGAAAGACTTTTAAAGGCATCTTTTAAAACAACAACTCTCAGGTAGTTTGGTTGTGATTAAGAATCATGACTCACCCATGTTTTTTTATGAGTTGAGCAACGTTTTCCATTGAAATGCATTGAAATGCATTGAAAAGCACATACATAGGCTCAAAATGAAATCTGGCAATATATCTGAAAAATCAAAGAAAATTTGAAGTTATGTTTCTTCAGCAAGCCTGACATGGTCACCAAATCCTGTCTTTTTATCACATTACAAAAGAAGTTAAAGACAAAGAAAGCTCAATTATGTGTGCAGCTGGGTTTTGCAAAATGCATGAAATATACATGCACCAATAATGTACTTACAGTGGGATACAAGTGAACCAAGCAAATAATAACGTTGAGATGAACATGACTCTCTAAAGTATGATTTTGACCTTCAAGGTGATTGATTTTCTCTTCCTTAGCATCAGAATAAATGATGCTGTGATTCTCCTATAACAGAATCAAAACAATTTTTGATCAGGCTAATTATGTTTATATTAGTACAAGTAAGAAATAATGCAATCAAAATTAGAGCTGTTCTGCTGGATTTGGGATGGAAATTAGATTCCAGAACCATGTGGAGGGTAACAAAAATCTGTAATAGAACAGTTAGAAATTACAGTGTAGTCTTCTTCCTGTCTCTGAGCTGGTAGAAACTTGTTTCTCTGTTAAAAGACATGCTGTGTGATGGGGATTCAAATGTACATTATTTATCTTACCTTTACCACTGCTGAGGATATACCATCAGAACTACTTCTCCTTTGGAGATCTGTTGTCACACATTGAGTCCTATTTCTTCCTCAATTCTAGATTTAAGACGAAGATGTGATGCTATTTCTGTAAGAACATGCCTTGGATGATTTATACAAATAAATTCAAGCCAGAACCAATAAAACACAACTGTATCATGTATTTGACAAATGCAATGCTGTTTAGAACAGCTGTTGCAGCAGCTTGCTTTCAGAGAGTTTTGAATAACTTGTTGCCTTCCTTTCCTAAAATATTTATCCAGAAAGACAGCAAGTTACTTTACATCAGACTGTGAATTTCAAAAGGAAAATTCTAGCATAATACTACAGAAACTTGTAGATGTATTCTCAAAACCAGCTGTATGTAATGAACTGGGAAATTTTTGATGCAGTGTTAGAAGGAATTCATTTACTAGGAATAGGAAAAGTAATCATTTCATTAGAAATAAGATAACTTTTCCCTTCCAGTGCTTCCAAACTATGAACTTATTCTTTCTAACGCAGAAAGTTCAGTCCTGTCTACTGGAGCAGACAATAAAAGTGACCACAGCATTCATTCTGCAAGGAAGCTCTGCATCTAGAAAAGAGTGAATGGACAGGCTGGGCAACAAAAAACAGGCACACTGGAAAATGCTAAATGTAGTCTTACCAAAGGAACTTACTGAAGAGACGGTACATTAATTGGGTAAACATGATTGATGCAGTACATCACATTTCTCTGTTCATGTTACAGTTGTGTGGATTCTTTTTCAGATATAAATTCCTCATTAGAGGTACCTGAAATACAGAGCTGGAGGGAGAAATAATGACTATATAACAAGTTTTCATCTTAGTTTGTTCATGCTGTACTTTCAGTGAGAAATAATCACCCTAAATTTGAGAGACTGAAAAAATGCTGACTTTAATTCCATTCCTAATTAATGTATATTTTATGTACAATTCCAAAAGAAACTGTTTATGATTGTGCAAATCAGAGAAAGGCAATGTCATATTCAGGTAGTGAGGTATGCTGAAGAAGTGAACATTTCCTTGTTTTGAGGGTCTTGTGTGGACAAAATGCACACAGAAGTGCTGACTGATGTCTATGCAGGTAATATGCCAATATTTTTATACTGTTCAGTGTGTAAATATGCAAGCATTTATATATGTGGTCACAAACAAATAGGGTGAATGGGAGTTTATTGCATGTAGCAGGCAAAACATTTTCAACACTTTGCTGCGCTTCCTTATTTACTTATTTATATTCACACAGAGGAAGTGGTAAGGCTGTCTAGCTGACAACTTTTCTGAGAAGAGACCGTTTTTGTATTAGAGGAAGCAGTGTCTCTCTTGGATGTGCTAACAACGTAGTTCTGACATTAAAAGAAGTTAGACAGATCTGGGTAAATTAGGCAAGGAGCTACTAGACTTGCTAAAGGAGGTCACAAAAAGGCAACAGATGGCTGCTTCATCGATAGCATTGGAATGAACGTTCTCTAACTACCCAGGGGAAGAAAAAATGGATTTGAGAAACATTCCCTATCGTTCAGAGGTGATTACGTGGAACCCAGATGACTTAGCAGAATATTTTAAGACGGTAAGTTTAACTGTGTTTCGTCTTCATATAATGAAGGAATACATTACTGTGACTTTGTGCTAAATTGACATAGCTTACAGTAGGCAAAACTTGCTTCAAAAATAAAAGCAAAATCACTGGGAGTTAAGAAGCTGAGCCAGTGAAACCTATAAATGAAAGTACATTTTAAGTTGAGTGTAAGAGAGAAAAGAGGCTTTGCAGTGAAAATGTACACTTTGCTACAACTACAGGGAAGGTTCAGGCTAGATATCAGGGAAAGGTACCTCACCGAGAGGGTGGCTGAGCACTGGAACAGGATTGCTGAGGAACTGGTCATGGCACTGTGTTTGGACAAAGCTCTAAGACATGTGGGTTTTTTGGGTGGTTGTGTGTGAAGCCAGGAGACGGACTCAATGATCCTTGAGGGTCCCCTCCAATTCAGGATATTCCATGATTCTACGATTCTGTGAATTGCTGATATAACATCCACAAGGAGCAGTAAAAGATATTAATATGTGAAAATTACAAGCTTTCTAGCTAGGTCTTCAGTGATTTTCAGGAGTTTTTGTTTAAATTGATGTGTTGGCAAACAAAGCACGGAATGTCTTTGCTTGTTAAAGCTTCCATGAGAACCCATCCAGGAATATAACAGTTGTAGATACAGGTACTCCTTATTTTTTTATGCTCAATTGGAAAACCTTTGGCATTCCCTATAAGCAGACATCTCTTTTTTCCTATCACTATGACTTTTCCTGAGCCTTTTGGGGCTCAGTTTTGAAATCATGCAAAATTAAATGTTTCAACAGCTTTCACCGAGTTTTCTTGGGGAAGCTGAGGCACAGTTGAAACTGGAGTGCTAATCAAATGAAGATAAGCAGACCAAATGCAGTATCTACAAAATCTCCAGAGAACAGCAAACTACAAGCAGACCTCTAACGCGGGGGTCAGTGGCACAGTAAAATGAAACACAGGATTGGAGATGGAGCAGATGACATCAAAATCAATAGTCAGCTTCAGAAAATAAGAAAAAGATTATGACACCACCTCATGGTGGTTTGCAGCACCATTTCCAAGAGACTCACAAAAGAAAAGTCTTCCTGAAAGAGCTGATAATCATATTCCTGACAGTGCTGAAAGGATTAATTACAAGTCTTGCAGAGGGGTTGGAATTAGATTATCTTTAAAGTCCCTTCCACCCAAGCCACTCTATGATTCTAATTGTAACTGAATGGCCTCGGTAGATTAATTTTTGTGTATCTTCTCTCTACTGATCCAGATATTCCTTGTTTTTGGAGAGGTGAGTCAGGCAAAGAAAAGCTGCTTAAAATTGACTGTCAAGTCTGTGTCAGATGATGATGTTTTCCTAAGTCCAACAGCTCTGGGCTACTGCTTTAAGTGACCAGACCCTTCTCCCCAAATTAACTCACACAAATTCTCTATAATTCAAGGCTTTAGGAATGCTTTTATTTCAACTGACTAATATATACTGCATGTTCAAAGGCCATGTTCAAGTCCAAGAGGAATGAGCAATTTCTCTGACTAATCTGACATATCTGCCAATTAGGAATTTTTCAACAACGACAATAACATCTAGTTTATAATTCTAGGTGTGTTAACTTACAGCCAATAATTCATAAAATCATAGAATCACAAGGTTGGTAACGACCTCTAAGATCATCCAGTCCAACCGTCTCCTCATCACCATTGCCACCACAAGCACTAAACCACATCACGCAGCTCCTCATCCAGACGCCTCCTGAACTCTGCCAGGGACGGCGACTCCACCACCTCCCTGAGCAGCCATTCCAGTGCCTGACCACCCCCTGAGAGAAGAAGTTCTTCCTTATGTCCAACCTGAACCTCCTCTGATACAACTTGCAGCCACTGCCCTGTGTCCTGCTCGTTGCCTGGGAGAAGAGGCCAAATGCCTCTTCACCACAACCTCCCTTCAGGAGGTTGTACAGTGCAATGAGGAACTAATTCCAACTATGCACTTAAAGGAACAATAAAGAACCAAAACTTCAAATAATTTCTAAAGATCTTTTTTTGAGCAAAAGCAGAAATATTCATATTCTTAATATCCTGAGAGTTATATTTAACAGCTACACAGTGTATTTCATCAATTATTTTAAGAATAAGAGATGAGGTCTCAAATACATCGAAGTGTCCTTTCAAGTGTAGCAATTGCATCCAGACTTTCTGTTCAAATAAAAATCATCAGGTTCCCACTGGAAATATTTAAGAGTCACATCTCATCAAATATGTCTAGGGTTTATTTTGTGTGTTGTTTTTTTTTCCTATCAATTCCCCAGTTTACTCTTAAATTGAATCCTGAAATGCCTACCCATGTCCCAGATGCTACTGCAAAACATAACTTAGAAAAGCTTTATTATGGATGATTTGCAGAATTCAATGCTTCAATCCATCAGAGGAAGCTTTTCAATTGCAACAACGAATTCAGGAACTCCGATCAAAGCTTCATTATTCCAAGATATTAGAGCTTTTGCTGTTTTTCACAACTGTTCATTGTAGTCAGTACCACAGCCTCCTTATCCATTTTGCAGATATTTTTTTGAACAGGAAACTGCAAGTTGGTTTTTGAATGTGGGGAATTGAGTATTCCTGTTCCCAAGGGATGAAAATATCCAAGTCTATTGAAGGATTGCTGTTTAAAAAAAAAAACAGAACACATCACATTTACAGGGAAAAAAAATGATCAATTTAGACAGTCCAGGGTGTGTAAAAAAAAATAAAAATAAAAATAATCTAAGTGAGGTAATGAGCTGCAGCTTTGTGTTATGACTTTATCACATGAGGATTAAAAAGCATTTTGTAAACTACTGGGACTCCTAGGATAGGTGAGGTAAAAGGTGGTAGCACGCAACAGAGTAACTTGAAGCACCTATTCAAAGCTAGCTGTAAGTATTTTGTTTCTAATAATTACAGTGTAATAATAATCGTAATAATCTTCTTTTCATTGACAGTTAAAGTACAAGGACTGTGAGAAAGTTGTTAGAAAGCACAGTATAAATGGACAAAGGTTTTTGGTAAGTAGAGTTGTGAAATTCCCTGAATCCAATGATTGCTTTGACTCTTCCTTTCTTTGCACTGACAGTCAACTCCCAGATTATTACTTAAGTATAAATATGAGAAGATCAGCCAGACATTTTGCTGTAAGTACAGAATTCTGGGAACTCAAGCATGTTGTTTAACATGCATGGATTTTAGTGCATTTTAAACTGATAGGGTAGTTACAAATCTTGCCTTCAATTCATTTCTTCAAATATTAACTACAGAAAACTCGTATTTATTAATTGTCTTAAAATTGCTCAGGTTAGAAATGTCCTTCAAGATCATCACGTCCAACCTCAACTTAACCATACTACCCTGACTCTAACAACCTGCTGCTAAATCATGTCCCTGAGCACCATCATCTGCCAGTAGTCATCTCCTACTTGATGAAGGGTTGGCGTGAACATGATCAGAATGACCAGCTTTCTACTTAAGTCACTATTTCATTCCTCTATAGTTAAAATCAGGTTTCTTCTGTGGCAAAACATATATTCAATGAACTGTAAGAGCATAGAAGCTAATCTAGAACATGTCATTGTCTAAATCAGCATTAGTCCAAGCTGTATCAATAAATTGGCCTAATCTGACAAAAGCTGACAAATCCCATTTACGTAGCTATTGTTTTCAGGTCTGAAATGCACATGCATGAAGATAAGTAACAGCTTTAATCATTATTTCATTTTAGCTCTAGTTCATTTCCAAATATTGTGGTTTTTTCCCAAGAGTAGGCAATTTGATCACCTGTATTATTAGCCATAGTGAAAAAACTGAGGCTCGTCTTTTTTAATACCTTCTTGTTTTTTATTTCCTTATGTATGTAATGTATGAAACTTTCAAGTATTTCATTAAAATACAACATACAAGTTTTCAAACACCTCTTATAGGAATGGGATATACACCTCCCTCCTAACTGTGTAGAGTCAGTAATTCAGATGCATGGCACAGAGTTTATCCTGCTACCCACTAAGCGATTTGGCTGAGCTCAGGCACTGAGGATTTGTGCCTGCAGGGAAACATTCTGGAAATGTTCTGAAATACTGTAATTTTGAGGGATAAATAACAAGAGCAATAACTGCAGTTTCTAAAGTGGTAGGGTTTATTATTATCATTATGTATTATTTCCAGGGCACTTCTGTAAGTAAATGGCCCAGAGTGCAGCATGTTTTCAGAAACTCCTAGTAGATCCCAGGGATGTTTTTTCTGTTAAGGAAGCAAGCAGCTCCTCAGCTCTTCTAAGACAAATGTTTTTAAGCTTTTGACCTACTTGTTATATTTATAGCATAGAAAAGATTCACTTCTTAAAAACAACATGTGAATGTAAGTGGAATTTTCTAGACTGCAATCAAGTTCTGTTCCTTTTTCTTCTCTATGAATGCTGTTTCTAAGAAACACCTCTTCATGTCTAAATTACTGAAAACTGCCAAATTACATTTCAACATAAGAAACTGTTAGAACTGAGTTGTATGCAGGTTTTGGATCTGACAGTAGAACTGACTGCAGAAATAAGGCTGCCTTATCCACTAGAATAACCTGCTAGTATCAAAGTCACATTTCTATATCTACTGGCTACTACAAAAATGTTCCAGTTGAGATGTAGTAGGAATAAAACCAGAGGGATTCCACATAACTTACTTCAATAAAATTTCCCAAGATTTAAAAGAGCAGAATGGCTCTTTATGAGAGTTTTGTCCCATATCATTTGTCAGGTTTATTGCCACAAAAGAGTTCCAGTGAGAAGCTTTAGAAGAGGTCTTTAGAAAAAATCAAGATGCTTCAGTAAATCCTGCAGGACATTTCCATAAGAGGAATATATTTTTGCTGTAGTTTACTCCTGTGGATGTACCAAGAAGTACAGTAGTGCTGGAAAACACAGCTAAGATTTGTTGTGGCTTTAAAAACATTGATGTCATTTTAACCCAATATATAATTAGAAATTAATTACTGCTGGCAGTAAAAATGACAGAAAGAACACACGTACCTCCAAGTTCCAAAGCAAAGCTTTTGATAGACAAAACAAAACAATTCCTCAAAAGTTTTCCCAGTTTTCCATTTATCCATCCTAAATTTGCAGTGGCACAACCACGTGGAAGAAGAGAGAGGCCAACTTTCTTTTCAGGAGTGTCAGTAAAGCACATCTCAGCTCAGGTCACTAGTAACCTGAAATCAAATTACTTCACTATGGTAGCACAGGGAACATTCTACTTACTCTCAAGTTTTTAGAAATATATATTTTTTTTAAATAAAAAGCATGTGAGCTTTCTTAGGCTATCAATGCTGCTCTTTAGTCCAAGGAGTCTCCAGCTACATCTCCACAACTTCTCATACACTGTGATATTACAGATTGGATTTACAGCATACAGAGCTCATCTGTTCTGGCAAATCACACTCCATTTTATCATGAAGAGTTTGATCTGAAATTTTGCAGTCATGCACAATTGAGCCTGATTTCACCATGCAGACATGAAGGAATTCAATTATCTAGTTCATGAAGTCACTTAACCATATTTTTAGCTATACTAAAAAGGTGTGAAGCAAAAAAAGCCTAAAATCATCATCTATGGTAGAAGTCTGCCTTCTCTACTAAGAACTGCTTTTTACAAAGGACAATTCACTTGTACACTGCTTTGAAACCACAAGTGTTTGAAAAAGCTTTTGCAATACTCTGTGCTTTAATATTTACTGTGATAACTCTCAAACTGCTAAGGAGAGTACTCTCATCAGTGATGATAATTTCAAGTAGACCACGAACATTCTGTTGAGCTCACTTCTGTAATAAGAAGCACAGGATGTAGCCAGAATGTAGCTATTAATTCTGAGACACGGCCCACTGAGATGATTTATTACATCTCAAGACAGAAAGGATATGTTATACTGTATGTTAGGTGACAGCAATCTAAAAAAAACAATATCCAGAAAGGAGGGGAAAATAAATAAACAAATGAGTAGATAAATTAATAGAAGACTATAAATAGTTCTCAAACTTTTCATTTACTATCCGCCTGCTTTAGCTTACCTATCTCCTACAGTCTCCTACAGGGGGAAAGTTGTTGTTGAGGAGAGTTAAATTTCCATTTCTTTTGAGAAGAAAAGCCGCGATGAATTTTAATCAGGCTTGTAAGTCAGTATGACAATAGAGCACCAGTAAAGAACTGTATTAGATCCCAAATCAGAAAAGGAAATGACTTTAACTTAACTTTATGCAGTACCATAAATTTGAAATTAATCTCTAGAAGAATGGCTCCCTATTGGTAAACAAATGGCCCTGCATGTGGCAGGGGGGTTGGAGATTCATGATCCTTGAGGTCCCTTCCAACCCTGGCCATTCTGTGATTCTGTGATCCTGTGAAATCAATTCATGCAGCTCTCATCTGACAAGCACTGTTTTAGGATACTACTCCTTACACACCTCTTTTCATCAGCTATCTTTAAAACAACCTTTCTACAGAAACACTTCTCATTAAAGCTAGGCATGTAATTGATCGTTTCTTGCAAAGTTATTTGTGTGTAAACAAATACGCTGATTTTTATTAAACTTCTAGCAAATTCGATACAATGATGATGACATAAAATAAAGTCTAACATCCAGCAAAACTGAGAAAAAAATATTGATTAAAATCTTATCTTATCTAAGCTTTATTTAACACTGGGCCATTGGGGTGGCAGCCTGTTGTCTTGTATTACTTTTCTATGTACTTTACTTACAAATTCAATTGATGTTTATACATTAGTAGAAACTTCATGCCACATTTTTGAACATGCTAACTTCTGTAGCCACAGGGTGTTTCATGGACAAGTCTGTGATCTATACCATATGTTTCCTTTGCAGAACATGTCTGAAAATGATATCCAGAAATTTCCCAAACTCCGAGTGCCGTAAGTAAAGCTAAACCACTTAACATTAAAAGTTATTTTAACTCACCATCAGTGAAAACTCATAGCAAACATCAGGCAAATGATTTCAAGTAATCAGTTAGAAACTTGTTAACGTACCCTATGGGAGAAAAAGAAGAGTTTTCCAATATAAAAACAAATGAAATGTGTCATGGTAGCTCAACAATGTCACAATTTAAAAAAAAAATCTCTGGTGGGTTTTAAAGAATTCAGCCACAAATTTTCTTTTGATAGCAGTTACACAATGGCTGAAGGTTTTAAATATTACCTGCAAAGTAAGATTTAACTGTTCATTGCTTCATGACCCATATTCAAAGGAAAAAAAATCAGGTATGTACAAATGAGTTGAGGAGATAAAGCATTTTTCATCGTGTGCTTTTACATCAAGGTGGGTGATAAAGACAAATCAGTTTGGAAGGTTTGGCTCAGAGTTAAATTGATTTTCTTCCCTCCTGTGAGGTAGGCCTTGAACATGTTTTGAACTCACCCAAACAGCTGTCATAATTTCATAGAGGTTACTAATGAAGAACATATTCCCACTGGGTCAGTACAGAGTAACAGTAACTTCTAGTACTTTGTGGCAAAAAATGAGGAAATGTCACCATTTCCTGTGAGTTCTTTCTTATGTGTGATGTAAGTTAGAAGGCTCCTAATGATGAGAGACATGAAGCTCTTCATGGTCTTCTAAACAGAGTAAGGGAAGAGGAGATCAAGTCATTCAAAATGGCTATTTCAGTTTCGTTCACTTCCCAGTTCCAGACTCTCTCCTTCTATGCATATCTTGATCTTGCTAAGAGACACAGTCTCCTTTAGTTTTATCAGAACGTGTGTAAGATGTTTTGGTGATGCTAAAAATACTGCAAAAATTTGAAAAGCTGTCTGGTCTGTCATATCCATGTGCTCACAGTTAAACTGGTTGCCAGATCTGAAGGCAGGAAGATACCTCTGTTCAGATCAGATATACAAATTCTTGAGCTTGAAAGTCTCCAACACGATGTGTTTCATAAGATCGTATCTGTATTTTCACAGAATAAGTTTCCTCACAGTAGGGTGTAGCGGTGTATGAAGTGCTATAAGTGAGCCCAGATGTTATGGAAAAGATGCCCAGGTGTCTGGCATTTCTGAAGTTAGAGTCAACTAGTAGCACCATCTAACCATGGTCATAGAGACTGAGGGAAACAGAGACTGTGGAAAAACTCACATCACTGTACTGTAAAACACACTGCTTGTAATTTTCCCATAATTATTCCCTCTTCTACAGTCCTTTCATAAATTTATCTCATTTCGACTTTCAATTTTGAAAACCTTTGGTGATTTCCTTTCATATTCATAAGTAAAATGTGGTCAATGCAACAACTTACAAACACGTACACATAAGTGATATTAATATCATGGAGAAACAGTTAAAATTTAACAACCAGTTTCTCACAGCTCCCCCTCTAATCAATAATATATCAAAAAAGCTTTGCAAATTCCATTTTCACAGTCCTCATGCCTTGTAATAGCTGAGCAGAAAGCCAGCAGCCTTTTTCACTCAGATCTGTTGGGATTCTCAAGAAGATGAGAATTTGAAATCAAGAGCTTTAAAAGAACAGTGAAGTGCACAACTTGAAGGACAGAAAAAAATAAGCAAATTAGTAAATGTGAATGACTTTTCTTCACTTACCAACAGGGAAGCAATTCACTGGAATATTGTAATCGCACATGGAAAATGGCATGATGGGAAATCCTCCTAGAATGCCACTGTTAAAAATAAGAATTTAGAGCTTTAGTAGGAAAAAGAACTGATTGTCATTTAAGGAAAAAAAAAAAAAATCAACACAATCATAGAATCATAGAATTCAACATAGAATCAAGAACACAACAAACAAAACAGATAAAATTGATGGGTGGAATATCTAGTCATTCCTTTCATTAATTTCATTACTTTGGAACTTCCTTGCTCTTATCAAAATGGAAAGTGCTTGTATTGGCCTTTGTGAAACATTCACTCCTTGCTTTTATATTGTAATAGAAAAATCACCTTGTAGGAAAAGCTCTTTTATTAGCTGAAATACACATTAGCATGTTTAATCCCAGCACGTGATCCACTTAATGGCAGAGCAAAGGTCTATAAAACGCCTCAACATAAATAGCAACACTTGTACTTAGTGCACTTCAAACTGTGAAAGGCTTGCAAACCACAGCACACATCCAGACAGAGTGTGTGGTTTTACTAAATACATGCATTTCAACAATTGCAGTGATCAAGTTTTGCATGAAACTGTGCCGTTTCTTTTTTAGGGATGGTTCTTTAACATTTACAGGAACCTTTCAGTATCTCAGCAGATAACAGTTGTCATTATAAAGTATGATGGGCCACCCTCCACAATTTAAATGTTAATCCCGACCAGCCACATCTGGAGTACTCTATCCAGTTCTGGGCTCCTCAGTTCAAGAAAGACAGGGAACTTGTAGAGAGAGTCCAGCGGAGAACTACAAAGAAGGTTAGGGGCTTGGAGCTTCTCTTATGAGAAAAGGCTGAGAAATCTGGGATTGTTCAGCTTGGAGAAGACCAAGAAGGGATCATATCAATGCATATAAATATTTAAAGGCAAAAGTCAAGAGAATGGGACCGGGTTTTTTTGTTGGTTTTTTTTTTTTCAGTGGTAGGGAAAGAAGAAACAAGCACAAACTGGAACCCAGGAAGTTCAATGTAAGCATGAGAAAAATCTTTACATTGAGGGTGACAGAGCTCTGGAACAGGTTGACCAGAAAGGCTGTGGAGTCTCCTTCTCTGGAAACATTCAGAACTCATCTAGACACTTTCCTCTGCATCCTGCTGAGGGAACCTCCTTTAGCAGGGAGTTGGGCTAGGTGGTCTCCAGAGGTCCCTTACAACCCCTACAATTCTGTGATGTCATTTGTGCACACATGCTCTCTTGGGTAGGCTGCTAAAGATTGAAATGTTTAAAACTTAATTGATAGTTTGTTTTGAAGGCAACATAACAATGTTGCATCTGCCCAACAGACATTATTCAAAGGCCAGAACATTACTCAAAGCCTCCATCACAAACGCTGCTTTTGGCAGCGCCCAATCTATGCAACTTCCTGGTCTTAGAGCACTTCACCCTCTTTCTCTTTCACCTGTCCTAAGTTCTTTTTCCCAATACACGCAGAAAGGATTCTGTTCATGACAGCAATACCTGTAGGAGCCAAACAAAAGTCATTTTTTGAGTACTGGTGTTTTTGTATTTGTGTGGGTATTTTTTTTTGAACTTCCTGCCAGTGTTAAGCTAAACGCCTGGTGAAGGAGGCAGAAAGAGAAAGAGAAGTCTGAGTAACATTTTCTGCAAATGCTGTTGCCTTATCCTGTCCTATCACACACTCCCACAACTCAGAAAGCAGTGTGGTTTTGGTACTTCCTTCCTTGCATGGCTACAGCCTCAGCTGCTCTTTGCACGTACCTTCTGTAATAAAGTTGCCTGTAAAAAATTACCATTCTAAACTTTGCTTTCTTCTCTAAGCCACTGGGTTCGAACCATTTAAAACAAACTCAAAGACTACACACTGTATTTCAAGCAGAAAATGATTAATTTGCTGAGTGAATTCAATGAGCAACTTTTCCGTTTTTCCTCAGTACTGGCTGATGTAAACCCTCACAACAGCCAGCCCAGGTTTCAGTCCAGAAAGCCTGCAGACACTCAGATCACATTCACACCTATGGGACCCTAAACTAAAACAACTATTGACTCTAAAGCCTGTGGCCTTTTCTTTACTTCTTTAGCAGAAATTAAGCTCAATATTTTGAAAGATACTTCCTCTGCTATGATAGTGAATTAGCCAAGCACAAGTGTTGTAATCCACTTCTCCACAAAAGCACGTGTCTAAGCAGGGCACAGTTCTCACCAGAACATGTCCTGATGCTCCCTTGGAGTCTTACTATTCACATAGCAACTTACTGATCACCTGCAGCACAAGATTTATTGTGCAGACAAGTGTGAATTCCACAGGAAAAAAGAGAACCTTGTAATTTGGAAGTTTTCTTCCCTCATACAGTTTACTTGGGTGACAAGATCAGACTGAGACAGCTGTAATTCTGTGATCACTCTTAGGTTGTTAACATTTGTATGCACATACTTATTTCAAAAGGGGCGAGTACGACAACATTTGCTTAAACTTGGTAAATTGCAAAGTAGTCTTAAAAAAGAAAACCCCCACAATATCCTTCCTCTGCTTTCATACTCATCCTTGAGTCCATGCCCCTAACATAAAATCACCCATTTTTATCATTTTTAGATACACTGTTTTGAAATTATTTGTTATCTGATACTGGCTGACAGCTCAATCTGCCTCTGCTGCACTTCCATAATCTGAATTACAGCAAGGTACATACTGGGGAAGCAGCAATGCCAAGACAGCAGGCATTTACATGGCTGGATTTATAAAAGGATTATAAAAATAGTGAGTTTTTATTGGCTTTTTGTTAAACGCTAGAATGCTTGAAAGCCTGCCTTACTCGGGTTCTGCCCAAAAAAACAGTTAGACATGAAAGAGATGCACAAATCAGATAATTAGGGGACCAGTGTTGGTAAGTAGCAGAAACAGATATGAAACAGGAAGAAAAACAAGAGACTGGTAACTGCCTGGCAATTCCTGGACACATGCAAAGATTTTAAATACTGATATAAAGTTTATTGCCAGATCTAAGATCTATGGAAAAGGAATCTGCACTTACAAACCATAAAATTAAGCTTTTACAGAATTTAGAATCTGACATAAGGAGACACATTTGGTTCCTGATTTTTCTTCATCATACTTTTACTTCCACATTCTGCTAGACTTGAATAATATAAGCCAGAAGTCAAATGGGGCATTTTCAACCATATGTGTGTAACCCACTTGCTTTGGCTGCCACAGGACTTTCTGAGTGGACTTCCTATAAAAAGAAATGAGAGTTAAGAATTGGAGTATGACTCAGCATATGTTTTCTTGGAACCAAAACTTTCTTTGAAATAAGATCATTGTTGAGGAAAATTTCATTAGCAGCAGAGCAGAGTGATGTTGCTCTACTGGGCTGAATTCAGTTGTTCTCTTTGACTGTGTCCTTTAACCCTGCTGCTCTTCTCAGGCACTCAGTGAATATAAAAAACATCACTCACAGTTATCTATGTTGGGTATGGATGCCAGCAATAAGTGCAGCTTAACTGCATGCTCCTGACCTAAAGATCTTTGAGGATTGTATTTCACTGGTTGTTATTATATAATATTATAATATAATAATATAATAATATATATTATTCACCCTAACGCTGCATACAAACTATGCACAAGTGATGAAAAGCACATCAAAATCTCTGTAGACATAAAGGTGTACACATCTTATGTTACATTTGTATTTCTGCTCTGCAAATGTTATGACATGAAACTGATGGGAGGGATTCCTGACTGTGCATATCATGATTGTGGAGGGAGAGGGACAAAAAGAAAAGAAAGTCACAAGGTGCATTTAATTTCATTTCTATGACCACAGGCTTCAAAGAAGCTGCTTCCTGAAATAGCATTTGCTTTTTCCCTGCAAAGTAATAGAATGCCACACCATTATTTAAAGCACTGCTCCAGTGCCTGCTGTCTCCTACACCCCAAATTTCTAAGGCTTGCTGAGCTTAACGTCGATTTTTAAATTCGATCCAACCATACGGGTTTTTCTCCATGCAAACAAGTCCAATATTCAACTGTCAAGTTACAAGCTTCTTCTATGTGCAATAGTGTAGCTTTGCAATAAGAAGAGAACTTAAGTATTCCTACCACATAGTAAATGATAAATCCAAGTCACATTTCATTTACTAAAAATTGTGATAAAATGGGAGGAAAGCAGCTAAGAAAGTGACTGCAGGTTACAAGGACTTTTTTTTTTTTAACTATTTCTGTGATTCTTTTAAACAGCATTGTTAGCAAACTAAGTCAAGAAATAAACAGAAATGATGGAAGGACATCTTTCTTCCCAAAATGGTAAGTGAAAAATTCTGACTTGTTTTTCAAAGTTTTCAGCTGTATCTTTCCTGGACTGTTGTTGGTTTGATTAGTAACACCTGTGTGTCAGTGGGATCACCTGGAAAGCATATAAAACAAAACTGTGTTGTTAATGTTATCTGTTAAAAATAGGAATTCTTGAGCCCATGAACAACCTGGATACTTCCATCGTGTCTGAAACCAATACAGATATAGATTTCATGCAATATTCCAACTGAGTGAATTACTCTTTAGGAATGCTATAAAATTTGGGCACATATCATTACATTAATGAGTCATCACTAATGCAATTTACAGACCTGTACATTGTTACATTTTAAAATGCTTCACAACTTACTGAATATAATATTCTTGAAATAGGAAAAGAGCAAAAAAATGCAATTAATTACATTGATTTTTAGCGTGGAGGAGTCATGAAAAAACAACAATTATTTGAATTCATGCAATGTGAAAATTGAAGTCTAGTCTACATGACATTGTTTTAGACCACCTGAGGACATGATTTGCAAAGGATCTACCTTTGCATTAGCTAGAGTTCAAAATCAGAATTGAAAACCATGCAGATATTTATTACACCCTGCAAACATTTTGAACTTGACTTTCAGCAGCCCCAGTAGAATGACTTAAGTTTCTATTTGAAGTTCTATTCCAAGGACTGATGCTCCTAGTAAATTTACTCACTGAGTTCCACTTGTTTCCAAACACTCCACCTTACTGACTTGGCCTTGTTTTCAAGACAGTTGAGCTGACATTTGGTGACTGTATGTGAAATATAAAGTAGTGTGTTTATGGTATTTTGTGTAAAGTTAAAGTAACTTAGACTTCATTTTACTTTTAAAGCTAAACGTTAACTTCATTAGCAATTCAGTGTACTAGATTTAGTGTATTAGATTTTACTGTACATAAAATTTTTAAAAATTTGCAATTGGAAGGAATTTATTTGTTGATATCTTTGTTATAGGGGCCAAACACAAAAGTGTCCTGAAAATTCAGGTAAGCATTTACTGGCAGTCTCTAAATACAAACAGCGTTTAAAAACATTAAAAACCTATTTTATTTTTTGTAGAGTACAATAAGTGAGACAAGGCAAAGCAAAAAAGACATAAAAGGAAAAAAAAAAAAAGAGCACATATAGTAGCAAAACATTGCATGCTTCACCAATTGTAGTAATGAGAAAACCAGTAAGAAAATATTTTTTTTAACAGAGAAACAACAGAGAGGAAAGGCAAGAGTAGAGAAATTCACATGAACATTCCCAAACTGCCTTTTGTTAACCCCACATATGGTATCAGTGCTTATACATATTTGTGTTCCATGCTCCCACTCCTAGCAGCATCCTACTAGAAACCAAGCATCCAGATGTCGGCCAGGCTCTGAATTTTTAATTATTTTCCTAATAGGCAAAGAGCACTTAAATCTTCTGCATCTACCATGCTCCCTTAGTTCTACTCCGATTAAAATAATTTTAGATTTGAATGCTATCATTTTTAAGATTTAATTTTTAAGAGATAGAAAGGCTGTGCTTATTCTGAAAGCATTCTATTTCAAATGATATTTGAAGCATGAAGAACAGGAGAAACTAGATGAGACAGAATATATAATCTCATATAAGGAAAGCTTTACTCTTAATTTTGAATGTTATTTGTAGTACCATCCATGAGCTACGTATGGATGCCAGTCTGCCAGCCTTTGACAGGCCTGCTCCTGCTTGCTCCTATTGTGATAGGAACTCTGGTATTGTGGTTCAGAATGGATTTGAATGGCTTTTTGTCCTTTTTGTCAACTGTTGTCTTGACATTTTCAAATTTTACTGTGCTTTGACTTTCTTATGCAGGATACAGTCAAGAAGATGATGGCTGGTCTTCATTTGTGAGTATGATCATTAACCTAACATACTGGGTCAATAATATCATGGCACAACTTTTTTGTAATCTCTATCTTCTCTTGCATTACCTACTTTAGACAGTATGGATGGATTGGTCAATGGCATGGGGTGTTAGACTATGGAAAAAGAGAAGCATAAATGATTGGAGTAGATGCATGCAAATTTCACGGAGAAAAGGGCTTTTGCCCAGTTATACAAAGCAGGGCTTCACAACAGCAGATTTGTACCACTGGTTCAAGTACAAATTGTGACCAGATAAAGTTTACATTCCTATTTCAAGCTCCCAAAAGAAATGGTTAGTAAAGGAAAGGTTGCTGTGTTATTCAATGGCAAAATCTTGCCATTCTGTTCTTCTGTAAAACTTACTTTTTGAAAAATCTGATTAATTTTTTGAAGCCAGATAGACTGCAAATAATGCTTTCTGTCTTTCAGCATAGAAAATGCACTGGTAAACTTCATTAGATGAGGCAAACACAACCTAGCTAGCAAAATGAATGAACTGACTGATCTACAGTCCATGCCTATTGAAGACCTCTCACTGACCACTGTCAGTGTATTTTGGAAAAAAACACTTGAGAGAGATTCTTAAAAAACATTTGTTAATGCATTTGCAGGAGATTTGCTGTATTTCAGGAGCATACAAGATGAAAGTAACTGCCTGTCATGCAGGCCTGTATGAGCTAGTCTGGAACTTTCAGCTAAGGCATCAGTGAAAAAATAAAAATACTTTTTCTTTAAGTCACGGCAGACAGCACAGGAAATGTGTGCAATGACCACCACCATGCTTACACTGTGATCTTTTTAGGACCAGTAAGATACTAGTAGTATGTGTCTGTTTTTGTTCTGGTTAGAGTATCAATCAAGACCTGTATCACAAACCTCTTTTATTTTTTTTTCAGAAGTGTTTTTAAAGTCAAGTTTCAGTCTGTAGAATACATACTATTAAGTAAGAATGAGTTTCAACTGCTCTTTCAACTGCTGCTCCTGTGTTCTTTCAGGAAGCTCCAAATTGTTTGCTGATACCTTGTGTGTTATCTAAAAACAGACATTCAAAATGGTTTTAAAGACTTGATATATTCCAGGTTGAAAAATACTGTACTGAAAAGCCCCAAGGAAACTGCAGAAACAGTAACCTGTTATAGCACTCATCTTTTATGTACGTTGGTCAGGATGAAGATGATGACTATGAAAGCCCTGATGATGACCAGGAAAAGGAAGATGAGGCTGACTATGAATCACCAACGGAAGAAACTGAGGAAGCAGAGCATGACAGTGATGGCTATGAGCCACCTCCATCCAATAACGATGAAGCACACCACAATGTCATATTTCCTGCAAAGTCACTTGCAAACAACACAGACTATATAGGTAATTACTGAAAATAAATCATAAGTAATGTTTTCATATTATTTTCAACTACATTTACATGGCTGGTAATGGAATATAGAAGGCTTTATCTCAAAGTGGCACAGACATTGCAAGTTGGTATCTTTGTAACTTTTAAAGCTAAATTTTCTACTTCAGACAAGCTCTGCTGGATTGAAGATAAGTTTCATGTGATGTGTGCACAATTTGGCTCGTGGTTTGGAATCTGCATATAGTAAAAAAAATTACACACTATTTTAGCTTTAGCAGTTGTTCCTTGATCAGAATGAGTTGCCATAATAGCAGCAAAATACTAGTGAAAATTGGGAAGAGATCAGCTTCCTCAGCTTGTCATTTTTTTGGTGTGTCTGATTCTTCAGTAGCTTGCAGTTTGGGTCAAGTATGAGAATACAAAACACTGCCAGTTAGACTGGCTGTGCTTCAGGCAAACATCGTGCTGCACGGAACAAAAAGAAACACGTGAGCCAATAGATAAGGCAGGTGCAGTCCCACCACCAAAGGGACAGATGAACCTCTAGCTCCCAAAAAACACTGATCATAAAGCACCTGCCCATTAAGCACTAACATAATGTCTGTATGATATGTCAGGTTAAGTATGCAGCATATTGCAAGGGCTCTTTTTTCATAAAGATCTAATGAGAATAAAATAACAAAACTATTCATATCGTTGTTTAGCTTGGGATTTTTCTTTTCTTTAGACAGGCCTCCAACAGCCAGATCATCACATCAGCCTCCAGTACCACCCCAGCGGCCAGGCCCATCCCCAGCACCAGCCTCATTTGGGGGAAGAGGTGCTTCTGTATGTTTCTCTCTTGATATTTCAGAGACTTGTCTATTTACTTTGCCAGTACCTAAATGGAAATCCAAGTGTAAAATTATTGCTATTCAAATAGTACACGTAGAGGAAAAAGAAAGTTTTTTGGTGTCAAAATATTTGAACTCCTACAGGGTGGGTTTTTTTTTCATGGAACAATACAATTTAGAGGGTCGAATATTAAATTCTTTGACACTGGAAATTTGTATCAACTTGTGAATTCTAATGATAGATTCTTAATACATCTCACTTTGTTTCTTTAACAATACTCGCATATGAAATATTTTTTTCAAATGAACAAAGACTACAAAAAAGGGACTGTAAGGAATTGATGACATGCTTTTTTTTTATCCCTGATGACAAGCTTTTTTTTCCCCCATTTTTTTATCCTTTGAAATCTTTGAAATTGAAAGCTATGTAATGCTTACAAGTTGCAATGTCAGTTCAGCATATGCCTGCAGAGCTGTACATAAGACCTACCCCCGTGAAGGTAATTTTAGGATGTGGTAGAGGGACCTTTGGTCTGACCCATTTCTATAGTTCACATATATAAAAAACAGCACTCTTTGAAATGTAGTAAGTTATCATAACTGTGCCCTAGATTGTTGCACTATTTATTGGAGTAAGAAAGAACACAGACATTTGTCTGAAGAAATACAGATTTAGATGTCAAAACAGTCTCACCCTTTTTTTGCAGCTTCTGATAACCCATTGTTTGACCCAGCTCTCACAATAAGAAAGAACAGTCCTTTTTCCCACTGCCTCACTCAGCAACTAGCACTAGAACAGTGTTAGTGCATCTTTCTCAGCTTTCAATTTGCTCCACTAATTTCAACACCAGATTTCAAAACTATCACTGCTGCACTGAAGAGACAAAGCCACAGCAGCACTCTTGAAACTACTGGCTCTTTCCGAACAGAATGTCCTCCCCAAACAGAATATCCCACTACAATATTCCTTATGATTCCCTACAGAGGGAATTCTTTATGAGCCAAAGAACAACATATGCAGGTCATTCTTCAGGAGCATTAATGACTCCTATCCATCCTGTATTGGGCAGAGACCAATTCTTTGCGCTTTACCAGACACCAAGACTGTCAGATACAGTGTGGTGTGTTCAATACATTAAAATTGAAAGAGAAAAGTGAGAGCAGGTTTTAACCATGTCTAAAATGTTTGTTTTAGTTGCCAGCTTTCCCTCCTCTACCAAGCAACAATGACAGGCATGTCAAGCCTTCAAAACGTAAGTACAGCTGTTGCTTTCTTTGTCAATGGGCTGCACAGCACTTCAATTTTGCCTGTAACTCCTCAGCTTCATTTTCTACTACTATTTACTCAGAAGACCCCTTTGTTATTCTCAGAAGTAAAATCAATTCATGGCTATGCAAAATAAAGTTATACTGACCTGTATCAGCACATTGCCTTACATAGTTACTGTGTTTAGCCCCAGCTCCTTCTATAGACAGAAGCACGAAACCCCCACTGGATCGCCTTGCTCCACCATTTGAAAGAGAAAGCCCAGTACCAGGTCAGTATTTGCTCGTGGTCACATCAATGGCTTGAATATTAATACAAATAACAATATTCAAAATTATCAGATCAAACAGAATTCATGCAAAAGGTCAAGGCTCAACAAAATGTACTTTAACTCAGTTATGTACAAGGTGATCTGTTTTGGAATAAATAATGTAAGCAGTACTTACATAGCAGATCAGCACTGGTTGATCAGAAAGACATTACGAGATTCCTGCACAAAAATGCAATAAAATAAATTAAGTGAATGATCACAGGAAAATTTAGCAGGTTAAAAGAGGGAACAATTTGCAAACAAAGTTAACAAAAATCTCTACATAGTACTCTATGTAGTTTGTTACCCAGACTGAAAAGAATGCTGAGAACTTAAAAAACACAGAAAGAAAGGAAGAAGGGCATTTGTTTCAGACCTTGATGCTGTACTTTACAAAGAATATAAACTGACTACTTTATGATTTTTATTTATTATCTATTTGGTACATGTCGGTATAGAAGTATTCAGTAATTCAAAGCTGCATCATAGAACGTATTTTTGTAAAATGTGTCATTTTGAAAATTAATCATTTTTCCTTTAAGAAGAGATATTGCAATTCTTGCACTGCTTATAAAACCCAAATCCCTGATTGGCTTACATCTGAGGAGTCCTAGTGCTTCAATTTGCAAAACATTGCTATCGATAATATTCAAAACTTTTTTTTTTCATAGAAGGTTTAATTATCTGCAGTTACATTTTTTCTAAACATCTTTTACTATTTCCAGGGAGGAAGCCAGGCCATCCTGAAAAGGTGAGTTCTTTTTAATTTGGCGCTTACACGCTTTTAACCTGTTTTGATATCCTTAGCTCTTAACTCTTAACTATTTCTTGTTGTTTCACAGCTTCTGACTCCACAGCTAAGGTAAGGAGTTTTGCCTCTTTGACATGAGACTGTTAATGCCAATATTAGTCAATTTTTTCATATTAACCAAATTTTTGCCTTTATTTCATCATCTTGCTCCTGCTTTAGAGCACTGGGAGAACAGCTAGCAATGATGCCAAAACCTCCTGTACCACCAAGCGATAGATATGAAAGAGGAAATCCATCTCCTCTAAGGAAGCCAATCCCTGTAAAGTAAGATTTCATTTAATTAAAATTTAATGAAAATATAAATGAAATTCAACAAAAATGTGGACAAGCAATGTAGGATGATATGATTTACTGCTACTGCATACCAGTAGTATCTGCACACGTCAAAGTTTTGTTTTAACAGTATGCACGGAATGTCTTGTTTCTTCAGAAAAGTGTGAATGTGGTAAGAACCATCTCTCAAGTCCTATCTCAAATAGCCATTACACATGGCAAGGCTCCTTTTCTACTGGCATAAAGAAACATATGATCCATATTTTAACCACCAGATCAAGGTCTTGCTCTAAGAAACATTGTTTCATGAACCCCAAGGATATTTTGCGTGGAATATTAGGAAGAGAAAGGCTTACTCTCCTTTTATGAGCTTGCATAACCCATAGCAAACAGCATCCTACAGCAAAAAATTGCTAACTGTCTAGATAACATAGGCTGAATAGTGTGACTCATTTTAAAACAAAATGAGGAAGTAATTGAGATCTGCTAATCAGATAAGTAAATTTGTCAAAGAACCAAGGGTTCTTTGTGTCATGTGTTCCAGCCATCACAGAATCACTGAATCACAGAGCAGCGTGGGTTGGAAGGGACATTAAGGAACATTTAGTTCCACCTCCTCTGCCATGGACAGTGCTGCCACCCACTAGACCAGGCTGCCCCGGACCCCACCCAGCCTGGCCTTGAACACCTTCCAGTGGGGCATCTATAGATTCCCTGGGCAGCCTGAGCAAATGTCTCACCACCCCAGTGTTGTGGAGTACTGTAAATGAGTCTGAGACTTGAGGTCTGATGCTTTATCAGTAGAAACTTGTTTAAAACTCTAATCATATGATAAAGTATTCAGAATTTTGCTAATAATATAGTCATGATTGGCTAAGAATTAGTGTACCATCTCAGAATAGGGCTGAAAATTTGTATTTTGGATATTTATCTGAGGAGAAAGAATTGCTTCTACAGATATATGGGACTACAGAATTTACTAAAAGTTTATGTCTTAATAGAAAATATAGCCTAATGCACATCAAGTGAATGGGTAATATTCCATCTTTGATTCATGTTTTGTTTTCTGTTTCACTTCAGGCAGGGCTGGGCACAACAGAAAAGACCTGAAGTAAGTATAGTCTCAAGGCAAGTGTGTAAAGATATAGGTACTACAATAAAATGAGGTACATGTAAGAATTCTGGAAAAAGTAAACTTATTTTTTTATGCGTTGTAGTGAATGCTGATGGATCCTTCATAGCACGTTGTTTCTTTTTAATAACTTCTATTATTCTATTATTATTCTATTATTATTATTCTATTATTATTATTCTATCTTTTAATAATTTCTATTTCAAGATCAGTTGATTCCCCAAATACTTTATCACAGATAATGTGAAGAATAATCCCAACATTTTTTATGATGCTGGAGAGGTGATTTCGCTTATTTTGAGTTTTTGTTTTTGGATTTTTTAAATTATTTTTAGTTGGCTTACCTAAGAATTTAATTTTCAGATAACTCTGAGAACCTATACATACCTAAGGAATGAGGAAAGTTCACGTTGCATTGGGTCAACATCTTCTATAGTACTTCACTGCTTTTTTGTAAATAACAGCTGCACCTTAACAAAAAAACTTTAAAAGTTTTTTGGTGTTATATGAAGACAAAGCTCCAGCTTTTTAGATGAAAGTGACAGGCTAGATAATATAATCAAAATTTATCGACTTCCAGGTCTTTGTTTTGTAAAACAGCGTGCTATGAGTTGCTAACATTTGTTTTCTCTTGGTTCCTCAGGAAGAAGAAGAACGTAAGTATTTCTTCTCTAACTTTAAAAACGTGAAGTTTTTCTTTGTCTTAGTGCTACCAAAAAAAAAAAAAAAGTTTCTAGAATTCTTTCTTTAGAGCCATTTCTAAAAGTCAATTGGTATCTTGACAGGTTGTAAAATGCTTACAGTGTATCTTGTGCAGATTTATATAGCAAAGCCACAGAACACAGAAAATCAATAGTTAATAGCTTCCTCTGGTCAGTTAGTTACAAGACAGCAGGATTTCTCACTTTGAAACACATCATATTTTAGAGACCTGTAATCTCCACACAGCATGAAACAGTGAGGCATGTTTTCAGTATTCAGAAGAATGTTGGGTCAGACCCTGGTGGTGCTGTGTTCTGTGTAATGGTACTTAGTCCAAGGAAGAGAATCAGAACTTGTTTCATGTAATTTGTACTGATTATAAAATTCTTTGTAAGTCCCTAAAATTCAGTTTTTAAAGCAGAGTATTTGGCCAGATGTTTATAACTTACCATTGCCTCTAAGACTCCATAAAGAACAGAGCAGAGAACAGTTAAACTGTTTCCCTTTTACATATAGTTGAGGCCTGAGGACATTACATGGGAGAGATCTCACAAATGAAGTTTAAAAATATAACCTCAAATTCACGTTCAGAAGCAGCTCAACATAGAGAACACACTGTCACCTCCCTCAGCTGCACTGCAGTTGCAGAGTATGAATTGCAGCTTGTCCAAAACATAACTTATATAATGTAAATATTCCAGCCCGCTCCATTTTATTTTTAATTTTATCTTCCTCTTAATTTCCTTAATATTCAGCTCTCAGTTTACCATATGAAGTTACAATCTAAAATATCAAGGACTTTTTAAATCCTCTTGTAAGTTTATCTAATTAAACAACAGAAATGTGATGGGATTTCTTCATTCTGACTAAGGTAAGTTTTACATTTTCTTCTCCTTTTCTCCACAGATATACCCCAAAGACCAGTGCCACAGATATCTTTGCCCCCATACAACTCCAATACGTTCCCATCGAAATCTATCAAGCCTCTACCTAAGCCAGGTGTGGTGCCTGGTGCTGAAAGGTTTGTTTCATCCCTTGCAAATCTCATTCCTTTTGAATTCTAATCTCTTTTCTAAACAGTCCCAGCTCTCTCCAGTTTTTCCGTAAGTGACATGCTCTAATTCCCTACCATGTTAGTGGTCCTTTGCTACTTTCGCCAGTAGCTTCATATCCAGAATTGCAACATTAACAAGAAGCTGAATTTCAAAACTGGTAAAAAATAAAAATAAAAATAAAAATCCACATGTGTAGAACAACACCATAAGTGGAAGCCAAAAGAAAGAGCTAGAAAGCTGTTGCCTGTTCTTCCTAATTTAGAGTAATAACGTACATGGGGCCTCTGAACAATTAACAAACTCCAGTAGTTTTTCACATTGATCCTTACACATTACTGATTCCTACCCACCTGATACCCAGACACTGAGCTCCAATTTATTGGTGGATCTACTTACATCAAAGGAAAGAATGAAAAATGAAGAGAAGGCTGTTCTCATCCTTCATAGGACCCAGGGAGATGCCACGTTCTGTAAAACAGGCTTACAGTCTAGATCAGTATTTTAAAGCATAGCAATGTTGCACAGCAATGACATATTGTACTGAGTAGCTTGTTTTGTTTTGTTTTAAAACAGTGCTAGAAGCCTGTCTGCAAGTGGCTCACTACCACCTCGCTTTCCCCAAGGTTTGTATCCTATACTTCTGGATTTTATGCACAAACAATGGCTCGAAGCTACAAGGAAGTTTCAGTGCATTATTCTGAATCTAAACAGATTTTCTTCCACAAAGTTTGGGCCTCCAGTCTAGTTAAAGCATTGCCAAAATTTCATATAAGTAATTTTTTCCTGGTTTTAATATTTTTTTCTGTTCTTGTACTGCAATCCTAAAGGCAACAACAGCAGATCTCCTTCAAGAGGCACAGCTGATTTAAGACCTCCGTTGCCCATTCCTAGCAGACAGACTGCTCACCAAATAAACACAGAGGAAAATGAGGTACAAAAGCATCACAAGCATTAACTGTAACAACTAAACACAGCAAATATGCTGATCTTGAGAGAACTGTTTTCAAAGGTTTTTTTTCTAGTTAGCAGACATTGTCAGGATGTTAGTAGGTACTTTCAGTTTCCTTTTCTACATCAAGATTTAGCGCTTTATTTTGTCTCCACTAAGAAAAAAACTGAAGCGAAAAAAACTGTAGAACAAAGTAAGAGAACGACTTGTTTGCTCAATTACTTGTTTTGCACAATTGCTTGAAGGCAGTACTACTTATTAATTACTTACAATTATAATCAATTACTTATTAATATTAATTACTTTCCACAAAACCATGATGAGTGGAGAAGTTACACCCAGTAGGCGCATTTTGTTTCACACATCTTCAAATATGTCACGTTTAGAGAAAACCATGAGAACGTGTATGGTTGCACTGTTATGATCACAGGAAGTCTGTTCAATTATCTCAGATGATCATTAAAAAAAAAAAAGGAGAGAGCGAGAGAAACAAAAGCAAAGGATGTTAATGTCCCAGGCAGACAAAAGAGAAAATGTCATTTCTAGTGAAAGGTGTCCCTGACCATGGCAGGAAAGCTGGGACCTTTAAGGTTCCTTGCAACCATGAACATTCTATGATTCTAAGACTTAAAATCTAATTTTTATTGAAAATATCTCCGAATATTGCTTTTCCTCCCTTAGAGGGAAAATCTGAAGATGCAATACAGCTAGGTCTGTAACACTTCCATATTACTACTTACTAGTATGTTGTCAACATCATAAGCTAATTCACTGACAGATGACTTTCTCCCCTATCTTCTCCTACACTACATACAGGATTCACTAAATGATGAATGGTATGTTGCTTATATTAGTCGGCCAGAAGCAGAGGCAGCTCTTCGAAAAATAAACAAGGTACTCTTTAAACTGTTGTGGATTCTCAGCATCTCTTTAATAGCCTGCCTGTATGTCCTTGCAGTCACATGGAAGAGTGAAGGTAAATTACTTGATAAGGTAAGAGCTCCAATATAGATGATTATAGTAGGGGCTTCAACTTGCATATCTTCACCCACTTGAAAGTTAGATATTGAGATCAAATCAGCCACGAAAGCTGTTGTTTTCCATAGCCCAAGAGAGCAAACTATGCATCTCCAGGGAGTCATTTGATCTTGAACATTTTAGGAAAAATGGTACATTCTCAATAAATATTTCTTTGTCACCAACGCAGCACTTTCAAAAATTCCACATCTTGGCTCAAATTATATGCAATGAATCTTACTCTTTTCTAGGCCACATTTACCAGCAAAAGGAAGTACAGATTCAAACAAGTGAAACACAGACTTAACCGGACATGTAGAGATAAACCAAACTGTATCCCATCCATCACTGTGGGAAATCTGTTTAATCTGTGGTGCCCCACAACAGATGAGCTGAAGTTGCCATATACAGCATTTTGACGACTTGTATTAAGGACAAGTTTAGGAGACCACAGCCAGTGCCTTTCAGACAGAGTGTTTTAATCGAAGATTTGTTAAATCTGAAACAAAGAAAAGCAGAGGGGGAGAAAAAGAAACAGAGAATATCAGTGTCTCTACCAAAATTACACAGACACAATCATTTTTTAAGCTGTCTGTACACAGAAGCCCGATTGGAACTTAACAGGAATTAAATTCTCTTCTGATTGAAGTGTAAGCTTGCCTTTGATATTTTGCACCCTCCTTTAATGAAATCTCTCCCTCATAAAACAGCAGCCCTACCTTCCCTAAAATTCTGCATGTGTCAGACAGGAAATGGTTGAAATAACAGATTAAAAGATAACAACATTTAAGAAATGATCTGAACATTTTTCTCCATTAATAGTGCAGTTACTCTTATGAAAGAACAAAGAAAAAAAGCAGATTAAAAAGAAAAACTAAGGAGATCACGAGTGCACTACTTGAGGTTGTTGTGCAGCTCAAAACCAGAAGTGGCATTTATGTCATCTTTCATTTTTTCATCTTTCAGGATGGAACTTTCTTAGTAAGAGACAGCTCAAGAAAAACTACCACTCATCCGTATGTATTGATGGTGTTGTACAAGGATAAAGTATACAATATCCAGATTCGTTACCAGGAGCAAGATCAGACATATTTGTTAGGAACTGGCTTGAAAGGAAAAGAGGTACTACGTGTTGTTTTTTTTACACAGCCTCCCTTCATCTGAAAGTACCTCCTGTCTTATTCCCTAACTACTTAATCTATCAGCTGTCTTACTCCACTGGAATTCTGCTCACTGTCTTAGAGTTATTCCTACAATTATGTTACTGCTGAAAGCAAAATCAGATTCTTCTGTTTGCACTCAAGGAGCAAATTGGTCAGGGAATGATTGTTTACAACTAAGATAACAGATAAAGGAAATATACCATTGGGAGCAAATCCATACCTGACAACTTTACTGCTTTCCTTTCAGACTGCTAGCTCACTCAATTCCAGTAATACTGCATTGGATTTGCTGGCATCAGACAGGTCATTGCATGTACTGATTGAGTCCAAGCTGTCTGAACTTAGGAGTCAAATTAATGAACTTTCGTCATGTCAAGCAGAATAACAACATCATGTATTAACGTCAAATCTGCATAAAGTAATTATACAACACATCTTCATACACATACTAGACACTCAGCTACAGAGTTGCAAATTAAGGCAGGAGGAAAAGCAGTGGCTCTGATGATATTTACTGTACCTTGTTAGACAGCAAAATATTTAGAGCTTAAATAAAAAAAATAATAACTTCAGTAATTACTAAGAATTCTCACACATCCTCCTAAGAATTCTCACACATGCTCCATTGCTTTCTTATTTTTCCATCCCACAGGATTTTTCTTCTGTAGCACACATCATTGATTACTTCCAAAGAACGCCTCTTCTTCTGATTGATGGAAAAGACAGAGGTTCAAGAAACCAGTGTGTGTTAAAATATGCTGCAGGAAATATTAAATGAAATCCAAATGAAGATCACATACACGATCAAAGTCTACCAAAACGTATAAACCTCAGGAGCTAAAATAATGAAGAATTCATTAAAAATACTTTAAATTTTAATGAAAATAAAGGACGATGTTTTCATTTTTAAGTCATGCCTTAAATGTAATACTCAATAAATTGGGTTTTCCTACAGTGTATTTATTACTGTACACCTATCATAGAGTACCATGAGTATTCTTTATGTGAGGAATACTGTCTTCTAACAAACACGAATTATCTTAAAATGATTTCCACACAGCATTAGGGGACCCATGAAAGATATACCAATGCAGCTCACTACTTTCATAGGAGAAAAAAAAAAAAGCAACCTATTTTTCAGATCAGAACTGCAGCAGCAAAAGTATTATCTAAAGAGGCATACAAAAGAACCAAAACAAAGTTGAGCAGCATTCATTTTTTTTCTGCAATCTACTTCCTAATAGATTTAACTATGGAGATTTCTGTGTAAAGATTAGGACTCCAACCTGGACCTGAAAAACATCAGCTTCCAGTAACACCCAAAAATCCCCTGGATACTTAGCTGCCTGTGAAGATCTGTCTGTGTGACTCAGCGGTGAAGTTTTCTGTGCACAGTTTTCTAGAGAAACAAAATGTCTACAGACACAATCCTTTGCCTGCCATACCGCTGATGAGTCACTGATGACACGTTTTTGCCGACTAATTGGAAGTATGTATTCCCTCAGGCCTTCTAACTTCACTCAGGAACAAGAACACCTTTGCCCACAAATTTGAAGTTTTTTTGAAGGCCTTCTATGGGATCCTCTAACCTCATACAGGAACAAGCTTTCCTCTGTTACACAAACTCCTCTTAAATTATATCTCTAACTCTAATTTAAGCCACCATTCCTTTATAGGAGACACATGAACAATGCGATTCTTAAATGGAAGACCACACCCAAATCTCTTAGAAAGCAAAGAGAGGGAAGCTTGGTTCCTCTTATATAACTGCTTTCTGGTTGTTTGGTTTTTTTCCATGCTTTTTTCAAGAAAAAAAAAAAACAACAGACACCAACAACCTTTCTCAATTCTTAAATAAAAGCTGAAGGCACCACTGAAGAATACAATAACAAAAGATTTTTCCCATTCCTTTGAAAAGTGGAATTCATCCAATTGTTTTGTCCAGATTTTCTAGGAACTCTGGTTTTCTGCTAACATCTTGGAATTGCCTTGGACCAGGTTACACATTTTCCCTTTTAAAGTCAACTGTGTGTTGAACCACAACTCAGAGGATACTGTCTTCCATGCAGTTTAGAAAAAAAGCAATCAGATTTCATACAATTTTAAATATATATGCTTTGTAAATGTTACTTTCATTTCCAATATATTTGACTAGCAGCTGAAATTCAAAGTTAAAGAATTTCATTTCTGTGCAACTACGAGTAAAATATATATACATGTATATATTAAAAACATCTCCTGTCCAGTCTTGTGAAAGAAAAGTCAGTCTTAATGTCTTTCCAAAATAAGATCAATCCCTCAGGACTGCCACCAACTGTATGAGCTGGGAGTTGTAGTTCTATTACATTCCTTTGAAAAATCTGAAAACCCAGAAATGCCTCCCATGGAATTGTTTTATTTGTTTTAAAGCATCTCATTAGAGAAAGAGCTTTAAAAATCAAACCAACATAACAAAATGCAGCTTTGAATACTTCTTTTTCAGCACAGTAAGTCTGTATTTGACTATTCAAATAAACATGTTTTGTATGATTAAAAACACTCCTCAAAATTCAGACCTTTTCACAAGAATAAGTTCTAATGAAATATATAAACATATTGGCTATTCAAATTTTGGGCCAAGAAGACTTCAGGGTATTTAGACTACCAAACTCTGCTTTCTTTTGTAGCCATGAGCATTAGAGTCACCACCAAAACCCGATCAAAATACTTCTGGTTCTCCACAAGTAATCTCCTGTATGGCCTCTTTCCTCAGCAACATTTTTAGAATGAGGAAGGCAGATCAAATGAGGAGCTGCAGTTTCTCTTTTACTGGTCGTTTCCTACCCATTTCTCTAAGAGCAACACCTTGACTTGAAGTAATTTAAAACCTTTCATTACTCTTCCAGTATGCCTTTGTTTAAAAGGAGTGAACCACGTGTGGAAAAACATCAGATCAAATTTCCTGACATTTTAAGTTAATTATGCCACTCGTTCCACACCTAATATGCTTAGTGTGAGAAAACTGGGTTCAAAATATTTCTCAAAATCAATATGCTACATGACGTTTTTCCATCCTACATTTCCAGATAAATGTATTCCAAGTGCATTAAGCCATTATGTCATTTTACAGTTCAAACTGAATAACTATTAATAGAAGACAATGCGTGAAGATGAATGGTAGTACTCAATCCATCAAACTCCAAGCTTTTTCTTCAGCCTCTCTTAAATCTTTGGCCTTCATGGGTTGGTTGAAATTCAAAATAATGTCACAAAGCAGTAGTTGGCTTTCCACTGAAAGACAAAGGGCAATGCAGTATCACAGCACTGACTGGGGTTCCTAGCACAAGAACAATGTAGAGCTGTTGGATAGGGTCCACAAAGGGGCCACAAAGATCATCAGAGGGCTGAGCACTTTACTCTGAAGAAAGGCTGAAGGAGTGGGGCTTGTTCAGCCTGGAGAGGAGAAGGCCCTGTGGAGATCTCCTTGCAGCCTTCTGGTTCCTGAAAGAAGCTTATATACAGGAAGGAGACCAACTTTTTACATGGTCTCGCAGTGATAGGACAAAGGGGAATGGTTTTAAACTAAAAGAGGGGAGATTTAGATTAGATGCTAGGAAATTCTTTACTCAGAGGGTGGTGAGGTGCTGGCACTGCTGCCCAGTGAGGCTGTGAGGGCCCCATCCCTGGAGATGTTCAAAGCCAGGTTGGACAGGGCCCTGGGCAGCCTGATGTAGTGCCTGGCAATCCTGCCCATGGGAGGTTGGGACAGTGAGATCTTTAAGGGCTCTTCCAACCCAAGCCATTTATGGTTCTTATGATTCTACGATTTTAAGATTCTGTGATTATTGAACGGTACATGCTAAATAAATGGCAACTAAATGTAGCACTTTTTAAAGTGTACATCTATCAACTCTTGCAAAAAAAATTATTCTTCTGTTTACTTCAAAGTAATAAAAAATGTTGGCATCAGCATATTCATAATATTTTCATTATCAAACTATTACTGTCCCTGCAAAGGAATGAATTTGACTGCCTAACAGATTTTTACCTAAAATAATGGTATGTCACCATTGTTTCATTGTTTTATGAAAAGAAGGTAATTGTATTTTACCAATGCAATTGTATGATAAAGCATGAGCCATTCTCAATCATGCTAAAAGAACACTTTCAAAGAACACTTTAAACATATACCTAGATGATGAACTCAGAATTACCATTTAGTTTCTTCAGCTCACTGGACATTCTGTCAACATTTTTAATTGCAGCTTCAAGGTTAAACTGCTGATTAGCTGCATCATTTTTTAACATCTGTATGAAGAAGAAACAAAACATAACAGTTAGACAATTCACAATCTCAGAAACACAGCATATCATAATTTCAATAGTTTTTTATATTAATAATTTTCCTTTTTATAATTAGCCACCTAGATATGGAAGATGATAAATACTAAAGGCAAATATTAAACACTCAAGCTTTATTTTTTTTCTTTCCAACACCTTTTCATTTTTGTTGTTTTTCTTTTTTAACAACAACAGAAAAGTGAAATGAAATTAATCATACATAAAATTTCCTCTCCTGATCAGTTTTTTTTTTTGCATTTTTGTTTTCAACCCTGGTTTTCTTACAGTGCTGAAAATGAATCGTCAGGCAATAGTTAGTCAACCACGAGGTGGAGCTGTTGTGTAGTTAACATGCATGAAAGACATTGGGACTGAATTAACACTGAAATTAATGAATTTATTAATACATGCATGGGAACATTTATGTCTGTCTATGCAGTTATGTTATAATCAACATATTGGCGCTTATTTTGGAGACCACGTTGCCTTCCTTCAACAAATAATAACAATACTTAATCAAGTCTAGAGAAATGAAGATTAGAAATCATTTGAAATGAAGTATAACTTCAATTTTGAAATTTATACCATATTCTGCATTCGTTTCTGGGATTTTGTAAAATGAAAAATACTAAAGAATATTGGATATATGTTTGTTTTTTTTTTTTCCTAATTATCAGCTCTTCTTTATTCATGCATTCTGAAAAACACATATCTGGAAAAACCTCTGGGTAAAAAAGCTTGCTATGTAGAACATCGTAACACATCGAGGAGTAAGACAAAAAATGGAACATGCATTTGACACAGATTCTTTGTCCAAGTCTCTCTTCCATTCCGACAGCAGCTTTGCATTAAGGTCATCAGCCTGGGCCAAGGATCCTAGAAGGGCAAAACTCAAATTGTTATGGAGTTACATTCATAATATACAATATTAACAGATAGTATAGAATAGTCTATGTATAACACACATCAAATATATAATAACATTTGACAAAAATTAATGACTAGACTTCGTTTTCATTACTGTCATTTGAAAATAGTGTCTAATTAGCCAAATAGTTTTATTTCTTACTGAGGAAATCATCTTTTTTTTTTTTAATGATTTTTTTAAACTTGGATTTTACACAGTTATGTTACTTTTGTTTAAGGACAATGCTTCAGATATTTTTTTAGACCTTAAGCACAGAGGAACAAATAGTGAATGAGCATATTCATAATAGTAATGAAGACTTCCTCAAACAACGCCCTATGATAATGTATTTGATTGAAAACTTCATAAAAAGCCTAGAACGGTACTGCAATATTGCAACCAGCCTTCATTATGAATTTAAGGAAGATGACTCTAAAGCACAAACACAAAAAAGTCAAATGCTGAATATCTGCTTGTCAGTAACAGAGCTGAGATTAAATACCAGATCCCTGGATGTACTCTTCCCCCATTCTCTCTGCTCTTCTCTTTTCAGACAATAGGAAGCTTTGGGGCAAGTTTCAGCATAGACCATCACAGGAAACCTGTCGCAACACTGATGGAAGGAAAAAGACAAAAAAAGAGCTAATTTCACTCTAGTACTGTGTGTGATCAAAAAATGTGATGAATAGAACCCCCATTTTAGCTAAAATGGCAGCAAGAACAGTGTGCCCCTTTCCTATGCAGCCCGGCCTCGAAGGTAAGCAGGGCAGCCCTGGGGAAACCAGCCTGGCTGAGCCCAGGCAGTGTGCAGGCAGGTACCTGAAAGCAGCTGGGTGCTGTGGAGTGCCTGGGAGGCTGCGCTCCCTTGGGTGCTGCCAGCAGCTCCTGGCCTCAGTCAGGCAGCAAGGCCCACCCAGGAGGAGGGAGCGCACAGCCCTGTGCACAGGCAGCTCTCCTGCTTCCCTGCCTGCTGCTCTGCTCAGCAAAAGTCCTGCGTTGTCTTTCACCCAGCTTGGCATTGGTAGGTTGCCCTGTAGGACTTGTGATTTTAGGTAAAAAATGGCGCAAGAGCTGAAAAATTGGGGAAGAAAGGACGAAGGAGGCACTGTGATAGTGGTAAACAGCAATCTCCTCTTGCCCTTTGTAGCACAGGGCTGAATATTCCTGCATGTTGCAGCAAAACCTTGATCAGCAGTTTCTTTTTGTTAACTTTAATTCTGATGGACTAAAAATAATTTATTGTGAGTAAAGATCAGACAATGAGCCTAACTTTATGGAAGAGGAAAAAGATGCTCTGCTATAGCAATATATAAAGTTTAGCCATCAAACGATCTCTGCCCTTAGATGCATATAACTGACATAAATCTACAAAAAGTGCTGAACAATGTCCTGGAGTTGGGAACTGCTCACTTCTTCCTCAGTCCGTGCCTTGTAGTCCTTAAAACCAGGGACACCAAGCAAGAGAGTGGCTTTCAAGGCCTTTGCTTGATTTACTGCAAACACTTTTCTTGCTGTTCAGTGTCCAGACTGTATTTCAGATTTCCTGCCTGGCAGCACTGGAGCAGAGTGGCTGTTAGCTCGGAGAAGAGTGGAATTACTTCGGTGTGCAATAGAGGACTGATGGACAGAGATGTCAGCTGCCTGCCTTTTACTTACTCTTCCATTCTTTGTATCGTTCGGGAGCGTGCTCTCACAAAAACTGTCCTTAAAATAAAGCATTCAAAGCATTTTGTAATGACTGCAGGTGCAGCTAAAATGAAATCCAGAAGCACTTTGTTCTAAGGAACAACTAAACTATGATTCAAAGGGAGAGCATGATATGCTGCTTAGATTGTGGGGCTTTCTGCAGATGAGAAATACAGAGCAGGAAACACTTCACACCTGCACTAATTCCTGTATTACAGTCTTTCAGCTCACAGCATTTTGCAAAGAACTCCATGCAAAGCTATACATCTCTAAAGAAAAAGTCCTGCGTGGTTTGCAGATGCTGGCGATTTTGCTGGTAAAATTACAGAGTTTATGTGTTCATAGAGAAGATACACAACAAGGTGTTTCTATATGGTACTGCCTATAAAAGAATATCCAAAAGTATGCATTTAAGTGTGTGTACAAAAAATATGTAACAGGTAACCAGCAAGTTCCTGAAAATGTTCGTTACTATAAACAGCAGTTATTTTCTTCATAATCTATCAAGGATAATGCTTAAATAGCTGCCAGGAATGGATTAGCAGATGTAAAGATAAAACAGATGTAAAGATAAACAAGTGAAGATAAATAGTTGCTTGCTTCACTGTAGAAACTGCTAGGAAAAACGTTATGGTAGAAGGGAATGGGAAAGATGTAGCTGACCTCAAGAGAAGCTAATTATTGAGTAATGGGGAATTTTTTGAGAACTTGTAGGCAGTTCCACACTGACTTCTGTTCAATAAGTTTATTTTAATTTACTTCCTGAATTTGGCAAGACTTTCCCTTCGCATAGATAACCTTCAAATCATGCTTATATTCTGCACTGAACTAGCTGTGACAAGAAAATTAGCACGATAGTTACATGAAAACTTGGGTTCAAAACATGAACAACATATTGAGTTGTGAGAACTGCTGGACAAATCAAGTATAGTAGCTCCTAAAATGCAAGACCATTCAAAAAATAATCTTAAATAATTTGAGAAATTAATTAGAAAGATTACAAACATTATAGGAAGTTGAGGCATTTTCTTTTAAGGAGAAAAAAAAAGGAGAAATAAGGAATATTGAATTTGTGATTAAATTCACTTAAACCATTTTTGAAATATTTTGTGAATTTGTGAGGTAATATTTCATAATGAAAATCTGAAAATAATAAATTATTAATTCCTGCTTCACCTGTATGCAAGGAGTGTTTGCACCATTGTTGCTAACAACTTAATATCAGCATGTTAGGTTGTGTGTCATGATTTTAATTTTACTTGAAATAAGCCTACAGATTTTGGCAGAGATACGTGCACTTGAAAGCGATGGAAGCTGCTTCTCATCATGGGCTGGCTGGGCTCTGCATGCTGCTTGCAGACATGATATGACTATGACTCTCCCTGGAGTCTTTCCGAGAACAAATTCAGGTGCAGAAGCTGAAATTACTCAGCCACTTTTCTGAATATCAGGTCAAGACAAAATTTCTACTTAACAACTTTGCTAAGGAAGAAAACAGATCAGGAGGACTAGAAATCTATGTCAGAAAATGAATGTAGGATTATCATGTGCATCAGCAGGCGCTGTGGGCAAAAACAGTGCAGACTGCTTTGCAGAACTGCCTTTGTCACCTCTGGAGTGTAACATCACCTTTTACAGGTGAAAATCAAAATAATAAAACATAGAATCACTGAACAGAAGGGTTGCTAAAGAAAGAATATGCCTGTATAATCACCTGCATAAACCTGTAGAATAACCTGTGTAATCACAGACTAAGGAAAAAAAAAAAGAGTCCAAGATCTCACATTACATATCACACATAAGGGAATATTTTAAAGAAATTGTTTTAGCGGGGAGTAGAAGAAATCTATTCTCTTCAGTAAGAAGCAAAATGTCACTGAGTGACTTAGCAAACATTAGTAGTGCTTGTCTCTAAGGAAATCATATTTATAAACACTGCAGTGAATAGGAGATGGGATCTAAGGAAATAAACTTACTAACAATACACTCATTTTCTTTGTCATTTAAAGCCTCTGCTTTCATTTAAAAATTTCTAGTGCATCTAATGGGGGGGTTGATGTTTAGATGTATGTCGTTACACTTTCACACAGAAAGCTCTAATAGAAGATGAACTGCCTTTTTTTTTAGCCACTGTCTGAATGTAAAAACGATTGCTAGGAAAGTCAAATAGAATACAAAGCAACAAACACATAAACAAATCATGCAATCTCAACACACATCAGTTATTTCTGAAGAAATAAAATGTTATTTCACACAGAACACCTGGAATTTTCACTGATGAAAACTGGTAAATCCTCAAGGTGAAAGAAACCCTGACCAGATCACAAGCCAGAATTTGTCCTGGAAAGGTTACATTTCAGTTAGAAGAGGCAGAGTGGCAGGCAGGAAAGGCTGCAAATTGAGCTGACTAGCCTTAATATGGATGCACGCTCTTGAATCAGGATGAACTAAGGAAATGAATTAAAAACACATCTGTGCCATAATATATTGAGTTGTGAAACACTCCTTTGTTTGAGGGGCTTCCACCAAGAAAACTCCAACAGATTATATAATACAATTTTCTGAGAATGTTGTAAGATTTAAGAATATATTAAATATATATAAACACAATGTATATATTAAAATGTATGTATACACATATAATATTGTGTTCTAGAGAAAGAAAACTATTACTGTATTTCGCTATAGCACTAACTATGAAGTTAGCATCTCAGATTGCACCGACTTGAGTAAAAGAGACAAAGGCTTTGAAGTTATGATTCATATCAATTCATAACGTGTGTAGATAGGACTTATAAAAATTCTCCACCAATTTTATACTGATTTCTATGACCCATCTAATCATTTTGTGTGTATAAATTGGAGATGTAAGTCTCATTTTTGTTCATATATAGATTGTAAAATCAGAATGAAAGCAACGTTTGCTGGGGTTTCTTTGTATTCCTGTTCAGAGAACAAAAGTACTTCCCTAAGTTATGAGGTTACAATCCTTTCCTATCCCTTTTCTGTGACAGGCAGTAGCTCCTAGTCAGAGTCACAAAAAGAGAAGTCCAGCTTGGCATGCAAAGTCTGAGCCAAAGGAATTCAAAGCATACTTTGACCTGCAGAGCTTTTTAACGTGAAATTCTGATACTCTGGGGAGTTGTCTGGAAAGCAAACATTCTGAAGAAGCATTCAGAAGGTCAGCGTGTTTTTTTTCAGTTTCCCAATAAAATTGATTTCTGATGGTATCATGGATTCTCTCATTCATAATGAGAACATTGAAATGACACGGGATTTCATAGCAACTGTAAGCATTTACTTGTACAGAGCAATGCCAGCTTCTAGTTCTTCAATGCACTCACATGTACATCCCTTTGCAGAAAAAAATGCCATTCAGAAAGACTTTTTGTCATCTCTAGGAGGAAAATAAGTCTATATAGCAAGGAAATACAAAATTATCTGACAAACCAGTGACCATGTGTTGCCTTTAGGAAAATGCTGTGTCCTTTTGACTGAAATGACTTCAGGAAGGCAGAGTGCATTGCTTACCAGCTCAGTTATTACAGATACCTTACCACACTTCTATTTTATGTTCCTAGGTTTTCACAGCAATAACAGCAAAGTGCCTGAATTAAGAGAGAAATAAGCAAGTGTGCTAATATCAGCAAAAGAGGTTTATCATTTAGTACACTGGAAATGATCCCTTGTTCACTCAAATATATTCAATAGCATAAATTGTATTACTTAGAAAAACAATATAGATACTGTGGTTTCTATTAGCTGTATCTATTGTAATTCTATACATTATTTTTTATTTGTCAACCTGCATGCATTACTGCATGAAATACTGTATCACCCTTAGAAATATGGAAACAAGTATTTAGGAGAACAAAAGCACAATAATCTGCTCAGGGAAATTCTAGTATTCCTTTGAAATTATAGGTCTGGCTCTTTCTGTTCCTTTATCCAAAGAGTTCTTTATCATTAACTTATGAAATGGCCAGCAGAAAGCAGAGCAGAAGATTCTATACCAACTCCTGCCTCAGCTGTTTGACTGAGACATTTCCATCTACCCAAGACTTTTCTTAAACTGGCACTCTGAAATAATAATAGGTTGTATTATTATATTTTCTAAAGCACGTTGTGTCACTTAGCACAGTGGACATGGGAACGAACTACAGCAATGGTTTCTGCTTCTCTCTTGCATTTGGAGCTGAGATCCACTTGATGAAAAGTACTGGTCTCTGCTACCTTGGCATGGCTGATATTAACAACCAATCACAAAACTTTAGCATCCTGTCAGTGTCACTGCTTGGTTTTTTATCCCTTTTCACAGCCAGATGCTCTCCTGGCTCTACCTTATTTAAAGGAAGCAATGGATCTCAGATGAAAGACATGAAAGAATTTTCTGGAAAAAATGATATTTAATTGCAGCAGTTTTTTTCAGCACTTACATTAAAAGATCGTTTTAACTTTTCCTCTTTCTAAGTCATGCTCTTTGCTTCTGTGGCTGCTTTTTATGGCTTCTTCTCCAAGAAGGACTTTCACTGTAAGTATTTAAGAAGAATATATTAAAAAAGCAGAAGGAATTTCAAAGTTCCTGGCTGACCAATTTCAATCATAATATCTCAGCAGAGCAATGTGCACTGCATACATATAACAAATTGTAACTTGCAAAACAGCCTTCGGTGAAACAAAAATTCTTCAGTTCTTGATACTCAGTATAAGTGACTATTTTATCACCTGCTTGTCGGTTTTACGAAGAAGAAGGCTGTCTCCTAACTGTTATGCATTTGTTATTGATTACTCATGGAAAAAAGCCCTGAAAGTGCCGTTACAAAATTTACAAAATACAAGTATGTGATCATATCAAAATGAAGAGGTGAATTTACTTCACAAAAATAATCCCCCTAAGGGAATTTATTAATGCTGCTTTATTAAAAGTTCCTCTGATGCACAGGAGCATCAACAGGTGAACGCTACTAAATAAGCAGCGTGTCTTTAGTCACTTTCTGAAAGCACTGCAAGAAGCAACTTTCATGCCACTGTTTATGAACACTTCAATCACATTAGCAGGGACTTGTTAGCAACAGCTGCTGTGACTAAATAGGGATCTGAAAGGTCCTTTAATGCTTTGCATGTAGAGACAACTGTGCCTAATCAGAGTGACGTTGCCTAACTTTGGAAAGCATTGCATAATTTACCACATTGACCAAGCATTCACATCTGACTGAATCCCTCTTCTTCTACTGCTGGGAAGCAGAACTGGCAGCAATGGAGTATCTTTGTATATTCTGTGTAGCACTGATCCAGAGCTCTCAAAATACAGACATGCAAAACCTGATTTGAAAAAACTCCTTAACTTTGATTTCACCAGAATGCAGATATGCAATGTGAAAACGAGCAAACAAAATATGAGAGCTGATACAGAAGAAATTTAAATTTGCACCTACAGCATTGATGCACTGGTGCCTGGTCTCTCATCAGAGCTTCCCAGCCTAGGGAGGCTGCCAGCAGTAACAAGGTGAATACAGGACACAGTAGCTGAACAACTGACAGATAAAGCTCTATACTTTCAGATAGCTACTTTGGATGGCACAAACAGCTTATGATGTGAATAGTACTGTGACAAGAAACAACCCATTAAACTGTTATCAGGAGGAATCAATCTGAATAACTACCATAGTGCCTGTAAACAGCCAGTAAAATATGACTCTGTATTTGAGGTCAAAGAAAGGCTGAGCTATACTAGAAATAACTCTACGATAAAATGTGTACAATAAATTATGTTAAATAAGGACAAATTCCATATTTAACTGAGGTATGGATACGGATTCAAAATTAATAGCAGAACAAGTGAATTTTAAGGTCATATTTCAAATGATCTGTCAAGGTTTGAAACAAAAATACCAAGTTTTCCCTGGGTATGTAGCCTTATATTAAACTCAAAGTACATTGTTCAGGAATACTTTGGGCAGGACATATTAGCAATTAGCAATTTTACTATTAGTGTTTGTCTAAGCCTTTTTGGTATAAGCAGTAAATAGAAGCACTTTGGACTGAACTGTTTAGATGTTTGTTTCTTTGCATCTGAAACTGCATGTTCTGATATTAAAATGTATCCACATTTTAATAGCTATGCAGTTCATGAGGGTCTGGGACAGAAACTGCAATTATGGCAGTTAAGCACACTGTGACCCTCCTATAGGAAAGAAGGTGGGTTAAATTGTTTTTTTGGATTTAGACTGCTGCCAAGGATTATGCCTCTATGTATGAAAAGTCGTTTGTTTCTTCTAGTAGTCTTTACTTTCAAAACATGCTCATAATAGTGATTACTCCCTCTGTGTCTTCCAGAAGGAAGACATGAATGAATCCAAGCTACCTTAGTTAAAATGAAATTTTTTCTAAAGCACAGCTACCATCTGAAAGGCAACTGCATTTTTCCCCTTGCCTAAATTTATAATCATGTAATCTCTCTTTGTTCATTAAAGTATATTCTTTCCCTGCAAAACTAGCAGGTAAGTTGGACTCTGTCCCAGCTTGTGCATCACTAATAGGATTAATTACTTGAGTAAAACATTTATACTGCAGTATCTTTACTTCATTATTTGTAAGCCGAGACAAATTCAGTTTACTTTTTGAGTCTCAAGCTGGCAAGCATATGATGATTTTCTTGTTTGGTGGCTGGTGAGACAAACAGTTTGGATTCCTGGTGCACAGTGGAGATGGATGCCCATTACTGCTATTTGAAAATCAGTTATACAGATGTATACACAGATGTATATTTTGACAGATCTAGCATATACCCTTGTGAATGGGGGATATCAAATGTCACTGAAAATGTTATTTCCTTTAATTTCCAATCTTATCCATCTCCTTCTATAGCCAGTACTAAAAATAATTTAATGACTTAAGCAAGGTGGTAATATGTTTAATATTGCCTCCGGGAGTGAACTCATTAAGAAGGGAAAATGCACTCCATGTGCACTTTCAAAACCAGGATCATCAGAAAAATAGCAAAAAAAACTCCCAGCAAAGGGCATTGATTTTATACTAAAGGAAAATGATATTGTACAACTCATTCACTTAAGAAGAAACAAATAACCATACATATGTCACAAAAAGGTTGATCCTTTCGCCACTTTGAGATGAGGATAATTACTTTCATTCAAGCATTTCTCCCTTGTTCCTCAGTCACCATCCTATCCAGTATAGGATTTGTAGTGTTTGACTAGATTAAGATATACTTCAGAAAAAATGAGATGGAATTTTCTTTTTTTTTCTACTCCAGAGAGAAGTAGATGTGCAAAGGAGGAACTGTATAAAGGATGAACTACCAAGAAATTTGGTGGGAACATTGGCAGGTGTTTGGAGGCAAGATTCAATCTAAGGTGTAAGTACAATATGCAAGGAAATAATAAATCCTTTGCATGTTGAACAAAAATTAGGATATATTCTTCAGATGCTGACTGAAGTGTCTAAAAACAAGAGTAAGCACAAATACACACCAGTGTGCTGCCAAGAAAACAATTGCTTTGGGGATTTTGACCTTTTCCAGCACTGAGAGTGGAAAAAGAAACTCTGGTCATTAAAGTGACAGATTTTCCAAGAAAATACTTATTAAAATGAGAAGCAAGACATATACAAAACCAATCAATTCTAAAGGGAAGTATCTGTACTAGATTGGCATAGTATGTCCAAAAAATACACGACTGCAGAAACTTCGCAAATGTGTAGACATTCTTTTCAAATTAGATATGCTTCAATACAGTTGAATTCAACAAACTTCCACCTAGAAGTTATTAACAGAACTAAACCATGAAAATGCTACTGAGGATCCGAACTCTTACCTCACGTTTTTCTTACCTTATACTGAGGCTAGTACAATCAGATCCAGCCTTCACAGCAGTGTTTGTTTCCAGATAAACAACCTCAGATGACTTGGGAAGTTTGTGGAAAATATGGTTGCCCTGTTTTTATGGTACAATTTTTTCCTCTCCTTACGATGTTTCACGGCTGCTTTTCATACGTTTGCTGTGAAGACATTTGAAAGAAAGCATTGTTCAATGGCTTCATTCTGTATGGTCTTATTTACTGAATTTGAGATTTGAGGGTTTACTCTGCAGAAGAATAAATGAGTTGTTAAACAAATCAAAGTGCTTCTCCAATAGTAACAGCAGACACCAGAGGTACTGACCCAGGCAGAAGGGATCTGAACTCCAATATTACTGAAGAGTTTAAAATATTTTAATCTTTCTAAGCATTTTTGCTTTTGAAACAAGAAGGTGTAAGTAAAGTCAGTTAACCAGCAGTTAACCAGGATCCTGCAGTATCTTTTGTTCTCGAAGACAAATAAATGATGGAATCGTGTAATCCTTTATAAAGACATAACACAGAAGCAGTGTTAGACAGTTTCTTTGCTCATCACTTCTAGTCTACCTCACAGCTTGTTCTAGGGCACTTCCTTCTGTACTCTGCTTCTGTTTTTGTGAGGGCCATACCACAGTAAATATCCAGCTGTCTGTAGGACCTTTGCTGCCTCCTATGACCTTTTTCTCAAACTCTTGGACAAGGAAGATGGGCTAGGAAAGAAATCTGCCTTGGATAGACACCGTTTCTTCTAGGATGCATAGTGCTTCATTTAACTCTGTCTCCAATCTGTAGTGTATTTACAGGTGGTGTGACTGCTGAGCAGTCTAGAAGGGGTACTAAAGAAAGCAGCTATTAAAACTTCTTGAATGCGCAGAATTTGGTCAGGTCTGGGCCTGAAAGACACATTCTTGGATGAGAAAACAAAAGACTGTGTCTATTTATGCAAGAGAGAATTACACTTGCATGAGGTTCTTTCTTTTTACCTTTCCTTCCTTCCCTTATCTCCAGTTGGTTTTTATCACAATGGGCGAATCAGTCTGGATTTCTAACATCCTCACAATTTAGGATGTTCAGATCAGTTTTGTCTTAACTTTGATGAGAAGCATCCATACCATGTGTAATCAAGAAGTACTTTTGTGGTTTCAAAAATTACAGCAACCCATGCAGACGTACTTCTGAGGTGTGTTTTAATTTAGGGTACGCTGCAGACATACTGCCACAAACTGGTGTGTGAGCATGCTGCTAATGCAATTATAGTACCTTACATGATGGCTGTTACACTAATGGTTTTTCTCTGACTGTATCTACTTAAATGAAGAAACGAAAGAATGGTGTTTGTGTTTTGTTGTTTTTTAATCTACGTAGCTCTATTTATTCCATAAACTCAAGAGAATGAAAATGTGTCATATATTTTTTTATCTTGAACACCTTTCAAATTCCAGACTACATTCAGAAGATAACTTTAAAAAAAAAACTGCAGGAGGAAACCTGTTGTTTCTCTACTATTTCTTCATCTAATATGATTAAAGACATAACACGATGTGAATATGTGAAACACTAACAAAGCAATTGCTCCTTATCAGGATTTCTCACTGTACGCAAGCCTGTACCTTTTCAGGAAGAGTCTAATTTCTTTTTCATTGCAAATGGTTTGTCTAGGACAAATGCAGGACTTCTATTTCACAAGCAAAGAAATTCTCAGAAGGTCAGTAAGAGACACGATCTCTCTATGAAATATGACAATCAATAACAGTTTAACCTCTAATCTATATCAACAGATAACTTTTATTTACTATTTGACTTGTGTAAAGACAAAGGCAGGTAATCCAAAAGGAGTAGTCACAATAGAGACGAATGACCTTCTTTCACAAGTATGTAGATACCAGTGGGCAAAAAACATTTCAGCTTCAGCATCATGCAAAGGGCTATTTTGCAAAGAAACACTGTGTGTTAGTTGTTGAAACTTTTTTGTGCATTCCCCGAAACAAATGACACTATTCTGAATATTTTCCTTTCTGGGGCAGTAAATAAAGTCTTTTATGTTGACAATGCTAATATTATATTTTAAAATACATTTGCATTTGTGTTTTTTGTCATTTTTTATTGCATTGTATAAATCCCGGAGCAGAGATCCACCGGGCTCATTGTGAGAAAGCCCTGTTTCTTGGGATAGCATCATGCAATGATACAGGTGACCATATGACATTTCATTACGGTTTACTGGATACTATGGGAAGGCTATTTCAACAAGAACTGTGGATATGTGTTTGGAGTAAAAGTCAGGAAGGTTAATTTTAAGTGGTTTCTGAACACTGGATTATTTTGCACAGATAACTTTCAAGCGTGAATATTCCTGATGCAAAATACTGTTAGGATATTGCAGTCTAACTTGTGCTTTAAATCTGCTGGGTGAGGGGAAAGATGGGAAGGAAGCTGCAGAAAATAATTCTGTTACTACTTGGATTACTGAATTCTAGGATTTAGCAACACACCTGTAGCACTGGAGAGCTAAAATAAGAAATGATTAGGAAATGTTTATTTTTAAGGGAGGTGATGCACATTCTCTAGCTTATGAATGCTTCTTAATGCATAAAGTCACGTATGTGATTATGTTGTTTTTACTTACTTCTACATTTCAGTGATGTGTAAGAAATCTTAAGCCATGAATCCATAAATGAGAAGGTAGTTAATGTCAACAACTGCTGCCGTTATTTGATTTATTGATTCCTCCTCTTGTTTAAGAATACCTTACAATATTATTTGTTTCATTATTAGCCTCATTCTTCTCTAAATGAAAGAATCAATTTCTATACAATTTTTAAATACTTTTTTCTTGCTTTTCCTACTTTATGAAGGCTTTCCTATTTATGAAGCTACTTTATGAAACCCAAAGGCCAAATCTATTACTTGTAAGTATTTGTAAAGGCAGTATTGTAAGTTTTATTATAGTTGTATTAATGGTTGTGCTATTGACCATAAGTTCTAGCACAGCTGGTCTTGGTGGAGGCGGTATGAAAAGTAAACCACAACCCTTCTTAGAATGGAACTGTTCTCATTTTCTTTCCAACTAGGCAAGGAAGGTGACAGCACCTCTGTAAAAGTACAAGTGTTTTTCAGGCTTCGCCCAACTAGTTAGAAACGATTATAAATCTTCTTGGCACAGTGGGAAAATTCAGTGCTGCTTTCTCAAAATCAGGCCTTGCATATACATTGATCTTTCAAATGGAGTCACAGAAAATTGCTGGTGTCTTTTCTCCACTCTTGGATTTGCAATTTAGCTTTCCTTCTCTCACTTTTTCATTATATACAGTGTTTATATCCTTGCTAATCATCTCTATTATTTGGAATGATGTGATTGAGTGTAATTGAAAACCTGAATTACACACAAATCTAGCATTAGCAAAATGTATTAAGTATGATAGGATTTATAATGCAAATACTCTGATTTTTCTGACCATAACGTTTAGTTAAATAATGGATAACTGTAAGTGCAGAAAAATTCAAGATAGCATTTACAGCTGTAAGGAAGAGATTAATAGAGTGACACCTTGAACACAACGTAGAGATGAATCTCCTGTGCCTTCAGAGGTAACAAAACTCTGTAACCAATTCAGCACATTTTTGGCTAAAGGGTTTTCTGGAGGAAACTTATGAGAAGTATGTCCTTTTTGCAGGTCTGGGAATGCGTGCTATTTTCCTTTTAATAAACCAGTGCACATATATTCAATTTTGCTTTGCTATCAAGACTTCCAAGTTCTGATACAAAACTAGCAATACTGAATTGATGCTTGCACTGACGTAGAGCTGCCTCAGGCTCAGAGCACAGAGAACAGAGATGATTTTGTCTTGCTTTCCTAGCAAAGCAAAATAGTCCTTACTTCCTCAGTAGGTTTTCAAGCATAAGGTTCAGACAGTAGTAGCATTTAAGCTGTGTGCTACCATCAAAAGCATAGGGGGCACTTTTCTTCATACCAAATATTAATTGTTTTCTGTTCTGTAACTCTAGTAACATTAGCCAATGGGACTGTTGTTCTGTTTGTCTGATTATGCCAGTTCCCAGACGAATCTTTGGTACAAACAATGTCATAACAGTTCAATCTGGTGTGATGGTCCACTGAAAATTAGCCTGAAAATCTAAGGAATAGTCTAATACTTCGAAACTTTTACAAGAATACCTCTACGAATTCAAGTTACTTCCTTCTGTAAATGCAGGCAAGTGCTCTGGCCTGCTTTTCTGTTTGTATTTCTCCATGTTCTTTTCACCCCTTCCCTCCTAAGGTGGCTTCTTTACACAGTCTTTTTCTAGTTTTCACAAGCTTCCAAAATTGCAGGAAGCAATCTGTGAGAAGATGAACAGTACACAGCAAAACCCAAACAAGCTTCTATCCTATTTCACAGAGCACTACATCTAGTACATTTTTAGCTTCCAAAATTTAAGATGACCCTGTAGCATAACAAGAGAATCTTTTCAAATAGAAATGCTCTATTTTGCTCCATTCAAAACATACATATTATGTCGTTTAAAAAGGCTGAAAGGTATGAATTTTACAGTTATCAGTATTATAGTAATATTTCCTTAATAGCAGATTAATTTTAAATGTCCTTACCATTAACATACTGGTGTTTTCCATTATTTGTCTTTGCTTGCAACCTTTCTTTGTCCTTCCAGCAGAGAATGTTAGTGCTTATTTACACAAAATAAAGACAGCTTCACTTTCAAAGTTCAATATTTTGGGCAAGCAGTAATGTACCAGTCCGCTATCCAGTCTTAGCAGGAAATAGTCCTAGTGCTGATCACAAGGAGATGACTTGTGGTATCAGCTCATTTTGAGAAGTTTAGCAAACATGTTATCTGTAGCAACAGTTCTGATGTAATGTTTATAAGTTCAAAATGTCCTGTTTGGCCATTGCTGCTGATATGCTTGTTACCAAAACAACCTAAAAGTCTGTTCTTCACCATGCCCTTCAGGTCACCTACAGATGATGTTTCATCATGAACCAATCTCTGAAAGGTATGTTTAAAGAGAATCATTTTTCCAGATTCAAAACTTTCAATTAAAAACTTGCTTCTAACGAAGCTTGAACAACTTATGCTGCAGAAAGCTCTTACCTGATAAGCCGATATTCATACAGGTTTTAGTTTGTTGAAAAAATGAATATGCCAACTTACGTGGTGAATTATTGACATGACTGCATATGCTGACAAAATTATAATTAGATAGCCATCTACACTTATTAATTAAGGAAAAGTACATTTTCTTCAGCACACCTGAGCCAGGGCCGGCTCGTAAACACAGAGAGAAAATTGTATGGAAAGACTACTGTAAGGAAAAAGAAACGTAGCATGCAAGCTTTATAACATATTTCTTAATGTGAAAACACACCAAGTTTGTTAGTATTCTTTTATCATTTCAAGCATTTTCTGCTAAAAACAGTGCATAAATGGTTACTACTATGACATCGCACACGCCCTCTAATTTCCCATCTAGTGAACTGACCTTGACACTGCCAGCACCGAACAGATCTGCAAGTCACAGTGACTCCTACAGCACCTCCATGACAATGAAAGGTTCTTTGCTTACATGTCACCATCGAGAACCTTGTAGGAAACGCAGCTGATGTAATGGAAAATGATTCCAGCTCCCTAATTTTTATCAGAGTTGGATCAGTGTGACCAATGTTAGAAGCAATGTTTCTGTAATCCTTACTCTGCATCTAAAGTCAGAAGTTATGAATACGCACGGCATGAAGACTGAAGTGATAAGAAAGTACAACCTGCAGTCATGTTCAGAGCAAAGCTACACTTCTAATTTCCCAGCTTCATGGATGCACATGCGTACCTATACACATATGTAGATATATGGAAAAAAACAACTACCACCTCAGTGTGATAGGAATAAATAGGAAGCCATAGGGAAAGATCATGCAAGATCTTCCCAGCTATGTTTCTAATTACCTCCATGAGACAGAAACTTCTTTAAAAGACAATCTACTTTGAATTGTCACTCCTGCGATCTTTTGCTTACGGTTAAGAATTGAAGTCCTTAGAAACTTCCTTCTTTAATAGGAATATGCCCACGACAGATTAAGGGAGAACATACAACACCTTCTATTTGCTGTATGTCGTCTTTCATCTCAGTTAGCTGAAGAGCAAGAGTGCCCGACCTAATATAAAGCAACAGAACTAAACTCTGGTTATCTGGAAGAGCTGGAATTGTGCCACTTAAGAGAAACAATACATAAAGTAGCAAAGTGAAACAAAACAAAGTGACCCACTGCCAAAAAACTGAATTTGAGATGATAAACTGTGCATCTCAGTGCTATTATTAATTGCACTTATCTAAAGATTACTCAAACAATGTAAAATATGTTACACTTGCTGCTAAAAAGCCTGCAATATCCATAGACAGTTCTGCTATCAATAAGACCTCCAAAACCTGTGACAAGCCCAGATAAACACAGTTAAATCTGCTCAAGTTGCGTTATGTATTCATTTCAGCTGCATACATCTTCATACATGTGTACCTTAACAGGAACTAGTCCTGAAAATTAGAATTCTGCTCTCACAGAACCTCAGTATAAGATTTCATCAAAAAATGTTTTTGGTTCAAATTTCTTGTTTCTATTCCTCTAATTCTTAGGCAGAAACAATTTATTACTGGGAAATAACACAATGCTGCTTGACAGTCACTTTGTTTAATATTCTGATGCATTTCTCTACTTCGGACACAAAAAAGCAAAGATAGAAAAGAGGTCTGATTTATAATTTAGAACAAGAGAGAATATGCAAGTCTTTGAAGAAAATGAAGAAATTGAAGAAAACTTTGGCCAGCATCTTTAATAGTAAACCTTTGCCTCCCATCTTGCTCAGCACTAGTTCAGGTGAATGCATGCTCTTACTGAATGACCATGTGTGCTCTCTGAACCACCAGCAAGTGTCCTTCCTGAATCATCAAAGTCATTTCCTCCTTCCTCAGTCTTCCAGACCTACCTTGTTTTGCCCAAAACCCATGTCTGAGTTCAAGGTCATATGGCTTCAGGCAAAATGAGTTTGAGCTGGCTTTTGAACTGCATGTTAGGTGTAATTTTACTTTAAAAAGAAAAGTAGTATATAAAACAGCATCGTGTGTAGATGCAGAGTTCACAGGTGCTGCTTTTGTTTACTGATGCATATTTCTACGACATACAAAGGCTTGAGCATTCCTGGTAATACTTAAGGCTGTAACACATTAGGAAAATACAGAGGACAGTAGGATATAATGGATGAAATATAATGCACAAATATATAGATAATTTAAAGCTCGTACTTAAATACTTGTGTGTGCTTAGCTTTCACAAGTCAGACATTTCACCAGGATAACAGTAGAAATTAAAATGAAGCATTCATGAATATCATCCCTGTTTAATATTAATTTGACAGCAATGAAAGGAAAACTAGGAAATCTATGCTAGCACCTTCCATGAACTTCCAGAAACCAAAAACGTAAATATGGAAAGTGTATGAATCTCAATATCAGCTCTACGACAGTTTTTGAATGTGAGATGTGTTGGGTAGTTTGCACTTGGAATATCTCATGATCTACAGAAAAGCTAAAAGGCTCTGCTCCAGAGATTACAGGCAAAATGTCAGCAGGAGCATATCTGCCCTACAGAGTTACACACTGACTGCCTGCATATTCCTTACCTCAAAGAAACAAATTTCTGTAGAAGCGAGCTGACAGAGAGACACAAAATACATGGCAGGCATTTTAAAAATACCTACTTGTTATCAGTTCTTACTGTGTCTCTAGTTCTGAGAGTTCTTCCAGAAATTTTGCTCATGAAGAAGCTATTTATATGTTTCCAACAGTATTAAAATTAACCCCAGAACTCTCTGCTATCAAAATATTTTCAAACTAACTCAGACAACTGCATGACAGAAAACAAGATATTGCATTTCTGGCAAGGCCCGTTGCTCCTGAGCATCCACCCCAGATGTGATGTACACTTGTGCAGTCTGGGTTGTCACTGCTATTCTTGTAGACAGCATGTCTGCATAAAAGGAGGGATGTGACTCACATTTGCTACAACTATAATTTAGAATGATAAAAAAAACCCAAACCATCTCATCTCCTGCAGGACACTCACTGGCATTCTCACTGCTACGTACCTGTGCAGACATACAGAGCTCTGGTGATTCAGCACCATCCATCACCATGCATTTGGATTTTCCATGTGTTGCCAGATGAAAACTGTGTGACATGCACAGAATTTTACAACTTGTATCTTGGTGCCGCTCTGCACTCACAGATACAGACATCCATCAGCAAACCCTCTGGGTTTGTTTGTGTGGCAGGTTGCTTTTTGCATTTTACTTATTATTAACATCAGGAATTTAGTTGCCAGTTTCAGGATGGCCTTTTGAGTGTGTTTTTAACAGAGTACACTTTTATGTTCACTATGAGTACAATCTTCTCCTCTGACAGAGTGGAATCAAGAAAAAGGGATGAACAGCTTTAATGCCCCCTTAGTTTCCTTTCACTTCTATCTACCGTTCTCTCCAATAAACATGCCCCTAAAAAAAGGAACACATGGCAGCAAAGTGACAAAAGGGAATGGGAGGCAGTGGAAGTCTTTTCCCTATTCAATATTTCTTTGGCCACAGTTGTGCATTCTTACCCCAGGGCATGATGATATATGACAGCATTTTCCGTTTGCAGGTCTCTACGAAGTTATGCACAATGCAATTGAAGAGGCGTGTTATGTCAGGCAAGAAAGAAGCTGAAGAGCTACACTGCCTTGAGGAAGAAAGCCTATCTACTGTGAATTACAGAAAGGAAAGAAGATATTCTCAGTTAAGTTCTCTCCACATGAAAAAGTTTCATTTGTCAGAAATGACAGTGTCAGTAAATAGGATTCAACTCCACATTTTTTGTGTCAACAGTCCTGCTTCTCAAATCATTTCTAAGCACATTATTTCATTCCTGAAGAAAAAGCTTTTTCTTTCTTCTTCTTTCTCTACTCTTTTTCATAGTTGTTAGTCATGGTTATAATGCATTTCCTAATCTGAAAATACGTATTTAATAGTAATGTTTGGCTTTCAACCACAGAAGGTGTGAAAAAGGAAGTTCTCTTTCATAGTCAACTACAGGCACTGTTGTTTAATTTTTATTTCAATTCTTCTTAACTGTAGGAGTATCCACTCATTAAAATGTGCCAATTATAATAGAGAGAATGCAAAAAACTTGAATATATATATATATGGAAGCAAAGTTCTTGAGGCCTTGAAAATTTGCATACTGAAAGACTGACTAAAAAGCACTTATATCTACCTTTGAAGAAAAAAAAGTTCACAGACCATTAGTCATTTTCAGATATTTTAGAAGATACCAAATAAGAGCACTGATTTTCCTGTGTCAAATGGTCAAAGGAGTTTCAGATGATATCAAGAATAACTGCTTCTCCTACACTTAGTAGTACAAGCCCCTGTAATAGGGGTGGCTTTGAGGAGTGTTAGCCATTCCATGGGTACTTGCTCACTGAAGTACAACTATTAATTTTCAGTCATGGTAGTTTGACATGAGATGGAGCGCAGGACCCATGATTTCTTTATGAGCAGCTGGAATAGAAATTTATAACACAATACTCATTTTGGCACGTTGTATTACTGTCAGTAATTCCCCCCCTCATGACCAACAAATTGGCAGCCAGTATGAAATGTCACCAAAGGAGCTTCAATCATATTAACACAGCTGACTCTTGAAATCAACCTTTAGGGAAAGGAAGCAAATGTTCTAAAACAAAAGGAAACCTTTGCCTCCAGTTAAGGAGGAGCCCTGCCAAACTTTCTGCCACTAGAAATCACTCCCAGCATATTTCTGCTTCAAGCTGCTATTATTCATCTTCTCCAGGAACCTTTTGGAATGGCACAGGCACTGTGGAGCAGGAGCTAAGACAGATGGCTAAAACATCTTCTCTTATCATGTCAAATCCAAGCCTTACAGCAGTGCAGGAACACATGGGACCTTTTTGTCCCTTTCTGTTCGTCTCTGATGGACACGTTGTACTCTAAATCAATTCCCAGAGCAAGAAATGAAAAATGAGCAATCAGGCAGCCTATTTCACTGCTCTGCATTCCCACCATTGCCCTTCTAGTCTCATGTTAAGCAATTAATACAAGAGAAACTATTACACAAAGTGTCTGTAGTAACCCTTTTTTTTTTTTTTTTTAATTTTTGTTTTGTTTTAAAAAAAGCTATCAAGGGTGATTTCTGACACGCAGTGTCTGCCTTCTCCATGCTTAAACTCCACACTCTGTGTGGTAACACTTCTAACTGCTTGAATTCCTCATTCAGTCAATCTAGACACATTTAGTTCACTTAAGCAACCATTTCTAATCAGATGCCATGCATAAGTGGAAGAAACTTTCAGGGAGCAAAATTGCTGCAGCAGACAACCAGCAGTCACTGTATGCTGTATCACCATCAACTTGCAAGATCAAGCTCTTGCAGGACTGTTGACCAATACCAAAGTCCAAGAAGCAAGATTCCTCCCATTGCTGCCAAGTATCCCTGTATTCGAATCCAAACAAAGAATGTAACCAAACAACCATATCAGACTCTACTCCCAACCATTGGCACTTTTGCACATGATCCTTGAAATATATTGAGTCAAGGTGGAGAAATTAAGACATGGACTTTGGCAAGGGCCCAGTTCCTCTTGGACATCTAAAACACAGAGATTGCTTTGAAATGCTCATGCCTAATCTGCTTATTTTCATTAAAAAAAAAACCAGATCCTATTAAAATATCTTTTTCTCTGCAGCAATAAAAAACCTCAAGCTCCACAGGAGATATATTATACAGCCTCAAGAGGGCAGCACAGTATTTCATGAATCACTTAATACGAAGGTAATAATGCTTTAACAAACAGCAGGCTGTCATGACAGAGTATGGTAGACTCACACAATAGTTTGGGTATAAAGGGCCTTAAAGACCATCAAGTTCCAGCTCTTCTGCCATGGGTAGGGACAACTCCCATCAGATGAGGTTGCCCAGGATGCCAAGCAACCTGGCCTTGAACACTTGCAGAACACTACAGCTACTCTGGGCAACCTCTTCCAGTGCCTTAGCATAGAATCACAGAGTTGTCAAGGTTGGAGAAGACTTCTGTGATCGTCTAGAACAACCATCAACCCATCACCACCACACCTTCTAAATTATGTCCCTCAGTGTCACAATCTTTCTAATATCCATCCTGAACCTCCCCTGGCACAATTAAGGCCATTCCCTCTTGTCCTATTGCAGGTTACCCTGGAGAAGAGGCTGATCCCCGGCTCGCTACAACTTCCTTTCAGGGAGCTGTTGAGAGCCATAAGGTCTTCTCTGAGCCTCCTCTCCTCCAGACTGAACAGTCCCAGTTCCCTCAACTGTTCCCCATAAGACTTGCGCTCCAGACACTTCACCAGCTTTGCTGCCTTTCCCTGAACGTGCTCCAGGCCTTTCTTGTAGTGAAGAGCCAGAAATGAACACAGCACTCAAGGTGTGGCCTCACCAGAGCTGAGTACAGAGGGACGATCATATCCCCAGTTCTGCTGGCTGCACCATTTCTGATACAAACGAGGAATGCCAGTGGCTTTTTGCCCAGCTGGGCACACTTGCAGGCTCACATTTAACTGACTGTCAGACTAACACCTCTGATCTTTTTCCTCTATGCAGCTTTTCCAGCCACTCTGCCTCAAGCCTGTAACGATGCATAGGGGTTTTGTAACCAAAATGCAAGTCTCAGCTCTTGTTCTTGTTAAAGCTCACACAATTGGCCTCAGTCCATTGATCCAAACTGTCCACATCTCTCTGGATTAGGGCCTTCCTACCACCCTGGCAAATTGACACTTCCTCCCAACTTGATGTCTGCAAACTTACTGATGGTGTACTCAGTCCTCCCACCTGCCCTCTGAGCGTAGAATTAAGATCACTGTAAACAGTATCATAAATAAATAGGAAAAAAAAAAGAGAGAAGCTGATGGCAGTAACATTAGCCGCCATTTTGCTCTTGTTGACGAAGCACCTCATGACACTCAGTAGCAGAAGATGCAGGGTTACAAACGTAAGTCCCACATGCTGCAGCAACCACTCTGCCTATCCTCACTTAATCAACATCTACTGTGAGCAACGAGTTGAAAACTTTCATAGTTTCTAGGGTCTGCAACACTGAAATTCTTGGCTGCAATTGGTAATAATTCTGCTCATGTTTTCAAACAGGACAAAGAAATTTAGGCTTATGGCAACACTAATTGCAAACTGACCTCATGACTATTTGAATACAATTGCCTTGTATGGCACTGCATCATATCACCCTTTCATGGAAATCTTACACTCCATTTTCCCCTATCACTATTTCATTTGGAAGACTGTTTCAGAATTTCTCTGAAGAACCTTATGTAAAATTCTATTGCAGAGTTATTCCTAGCCAATTTATGTTTTGGTTCCTGTGCCAGCAGCATCTGCTAGCTTCAGCACTGTCTTTTTTTTTTGCTTAATTAAATGTGTTTTTGTCTTTAATGCTATGGGCAAACACTCCCAGTCCTCGATAACCTCAGTAGGACTTATCTCTGCCTGTTCCCCTTTTAAATTCCTTCCTTCAGCACGGATGACAGATAAAATTATATTCCAGATGAACAGTCTGCAGTATCCTTAACATTTCTTGAGACCTATAGGAAATTCCTCACTACACCAAATATGCATTTCATAGCACAGGTGGGTTAGGGATGGCAACATTGACACATACTCTAGAGACCTGCATGAACAATAAACTGAGCTGTAAGCTGCAGGTACAGCCTCACATTCTGCTATTGCTCTGGAACAATGTTTATGTCAAAAAAGCCTCTGTCTCTGGTATCCCATTTTTGAATGGCTATAATACTCATCCATGCAACTATATAACTGATGTCACAGCTATAAATTGATATCGAAATCTAACAGGAACCATGTATCTTAATATTATATCATTTTCCAGCTCACTGTAGCACATCTGCCACAATCACAGTGAGCCATCAAGGTTAGTTAAGAGCTTTGATTAAGCAAATTTAATTGAACAGAGATTATTGACAATATATTTATTACCTGCTGCCAGGCAGCTATACTGTGCTTTGCCTTCTTACAATTGTAAATAGCAAACATAAAATATTAGAAAAATATGAATTTAAAACCAACCAAACAACAAAAAGAACCAGTATAACAAACCTAGATCAATTTATTTCAAGCAACATAGACTACTACTCTGACCTTGCTATGGATTCTACATATTAAAAACACTGGACTTCATTAGAAGCCACTGCAAAATCATTTTCATTTCCACATCATCAGGTAACATTCGGCCACGTTGAATGATGGTACAGTAATGTTTGTATTCCAGCTAGCACTCTGTATCAAATGCTAATTTTAATTATCATACCAAACTGGGGTAGAAGGCAGAAAGTTCCTAAGAAATTCACTTTTCACAGAAGGAAACTTTCAAAACAAGTTTGTATCTGAATTGCAGAGAATCGTTTCAACAAGTAATGAATTTGAATGCTAACACTATTGATACTGGGTTTTCATAGTACTGATATTTAAGAATCACAGAATGGTTTGGGTTAGAAGGGACCTCTGGAAGTCATCTAGTTCAGCTCCCTGCTTCAGAAGGGTCCCCTAGAGCAGGCTGCCAAGGACCACACTCCACACAACTTCTGAATAGCTACAGGGATGGAGATTCCACACACTGGTTTATCACTTTTTCTGTTCTTTTTTTTTTTAATTATCTAAAATAAAATCTCTCTCACTCCAAAAGAATTCCTTCTTGAACTGTTTTTGAAATCAGTACAAGTTTCATCTTAAATCCTGTTAATTAAAGAGGAACTTATCTAAGAGCATTTCTACAATCTCTGCTTCTCAATATTTTTCTCACAATTGCAGTACATCACAAAATCCAAACTGTTTTCTAACACTAATGTTATTCCCAAACTCAAAAAA